ACATTCCATTATAACAGGGTGGGTATGGTGACCTGCTGCTTGGAGTGCACGGCAGGTAGGAGGAAACCCATCCCAGGCTAAACTCTTCCTGCCTGACTGATTAGAGGTGGGCTTACCCTTCTTGCTTGCACCTATAGGGCATTTCCACTGCAGCAGAGGTTGTGTTGGGGGGCACAATGATTGCTTGCATAGATGAACAACAGGTAGAGATAATGGTAGCAAATCAAATGAACACTGTAGTAATAGCAAGCCCACTTGCAAGTTCAAAGGATCATACTGTAAAGTTATTTAAAACTAAATCTAACTCAAAGAAGAACAGCATTTATATCACCTGCAGCTAAATACCAGACACACGAGTTGACCTTTTCTGCGAATCTCTCACTTCACTAAATGGCAGGAATGTCTATATCTGGACTAAGCTATCTCGTCCACACACAAGTACAGAGATTGTGTTCCCAAGCCAGTTTTAATGTTTGAAGCATTTTGCTTGTGTAAGTATTATTTTTCCACATTTGTAAGTTGATTAAAAGGCTGTTAAATCAACAAGATATCAGGTTAACATGATACAAGGGGAAACATATCTTTCCCCCTAATTGGGAACTACAGCTTATCGCCATTTTTTCACCCAAAAATGACATTGTAATCATTTACTTAACCTCACGCCACTCCAAATCTGACATTCTTTCTTGTGTGGAACATCTAGACATCTCCATGTTTTTATCCATGCAATGGAAATCAGTGGTCTCCCAAACTGTTTTTCAAAAATATCTCCTTTTGTGTTCCGAAAAATGAACTAAATTAGGGAGAGAAATCCTGCATGTTCAAAGATTAATAAAATAGCCCTGAATGTTATTTAAAATAAGATTTAGATGGAGTTTGGGATGTCACACCACAGGGATATTTCACCACAGCTACATGTAAACAGATTTAAAAAAAAAAAAAATCTTTTCCACGCTGAAAGCCAGCTAATGCACTCAAATGTCTTGTTAAACATTTTTTACATGCTTGTAGTGTTTTAGAGTAACTTAAAGCAAAAGCACCCGAAATCATCCTTCTGTGCCAAAGCCAACAAAAAAATAATAGATATCTTGAACACTCGAGCTAATGGTTCACACAGATCACATCTCGGCAACGACAGCTCGCAATACACTTCAATCATGTGCTATGAAGAAATACTGAAACATTCACTTGTGATAACCTGTTAATGTTAAGAGCTCTTGAACATCTCTTCCTGAGAACACAAATCACACATATGCAGAACTGAACCATCAGGCTTTTAAAGTGAAATGAACATAACAGCTTATATGCAAATAATACGTGCATGCATGATCATTAGCGAAGGTTTACAGACTTCAGCGCCCGGGGACAGATACCATACCAGACAAAGAGACCACACACGCACAACCCGCGCTTGATCACAACTTGTTGCTTTTATTGTGCTACGGAATTAAAAACAGAATGAGCATTCCACTTTAGCAAAATAATATTCATGTACGTCCAAAATTAAAGGTTTTCTTTTACTTTATCCATCGTTATGCGATGGATGGATGCTGATAGGCGTCCAGCTGTGTCCCATTCCATAGCTACACAAAGCGAGTTGAATTTCTAACACCGAACAAAAACACGTGAATTAACTGCGAGCTCTTTAATTATGAATGTTAATATGAACAGACAAGATTAATATAACGGGTGCTGTGTGAAAGAAATACCTCCAGTCCGTTAGCAGCGCGCTAACGCTAACAGCCCCTCAACGCTTTTGTTCTGAAAACGCCGGTAGCAGACGACCACTTATCTTGACAAACGAACTTCCCACATTGCGTAGAAACAACATGCACAGCATAATATGTCGGCCATGGCAAATATGTGCGATGTATGAAATTGAATTGTAATTGACTATAACAGCCCCCAAACTATAAGAATATTCGCTCAGCGAGCGCTCTCCACCGTCAAAAATACAAGTCGCGCGGATTATAAGCGCATACCGGATTACACAAAGCTGTTAAACACATAGTTTTGTCATATTAAACGACTTTCTTGTCATTTTCATACAGCCTTTTCATACTCACAGATTTGTCAGGCTCGCTCCATGTGATTCAGTGTGTATCCGTGTGTGTGTGTGTGTGTGTGTGTGCGTGCGCACGCAAGCGCGGAGATTCCCCTGCTGCAACCATGGAGACGCAGCGTCACCCAGAGCAACCGAGAGGGAAGAAAATGTTGTGTAAAATGACATTAGAATAATTTCAGTATTTGTGCTAATACAAACATGATTAAAAAAAACTGATCATGTGAAGACTATAGAGTTAGAAATTCATATTTCATATTTTTGTTTAGTTGCAATTATTATATGTAATATCTACCCATCTACCCACTACCCAAAAGAAAAAATGCTGCACAGCTTTTTTTATTTTTTATAATAAAAACATAAGTGCCTCGTGTATGTGATATGAATGAAGTGTACCAAAAGTCGAGGAGGTGTGACTGCTAATTCCATTAGACTATTGCTCTATAAGTCTCCAACTTATTTTCATTTGAGAGCTACTTTTTAAAAATAAAAGCTACTCATGTAATAGCCTACTTAAATCAAAAGCTACTCATGTAATAGCCTACTTAAATCTCCTAATGATTTAAGTAGGTAAGTAGGCTAATAATAATAATAATAATAATAATGTAAGTAGTAATAATTATTAACAACTATTAACAACTATCCAAACTGTGTCCTTCCCGCGCGCCTACATTTGAACGAATTAGATCGCGCAAAAGACGCGATATGTAAACGACCCCAGCTACCTCAAGCCACAAGCTGGTAGCTCGCGAGCGACTTGTTGAAGACCCCTGTGCTTGGCGGCGGCGCAGAGGATTTTTTTTTAAATAGCTACTCGTGCCGCCCCCCATGTGTCATGAAAAATGCCACCCCGAGCGACTGCCCGGTTCGCCTGTGCCAAAAACCACTATTGGCTCTTATCTAATTAAATACTGCTGATATTGCGCCATCTAGCGTAGCCTACAACATCATGGAAATGTGTCAGCAGGTCATGAAATGTGGGATTTATCTAATTTGTTGAACACATATTCATATTTATTGTAAAAATGCAACTCACTGTAACCATGTCATCGACATATATTTCTATATAATGAGATATATATCCTTTTTTTTAACTAAAAAATAGCTACTCTGGTATCCAGCATAATAATTTAGCCTATAAGGTATTTATTTCACAAAAGTCCTTTCTTATTGTTGTATTCATCATTAGGCTGCTATCTGTAATGAGGTCATTATTTTTACATCGCCCCTTATAGGTTAAGTAGGTACTCTGACTGTCTGGTTTAGAATTTATGCAGGTCATTGCCTAATAAAAGCTGAGGCTCACATATGTCAAGCAACAGATGGATAGTCCACATCAGTTGGCTAGCCTACTAAATTGTTTGATTTAAACTATATAGCCTAAGTAGGCTAAACATATTTTGAATAAAACTCAAAAAGCATTTTATTTACACTGACTCCAAGTTCCTGAATGCAATTAATGAGATTTCAAATGTAAGTTGTAATTGTTGATTTAGTGATTGTTGAAGAAAATATATGCAGGAGACCCAGAATTCTTCTGCATCATGCAATATGGATGATGATGACACCGAATAGATCAAGTTTTGTTAAAAACAAATATTGTTTGTTTGTTTGAAATATCATAAATAACCTTTTTAAAGTGCAATTTCAAATAATTTTGTTTTGTGAAATTCCAAATAAAGTATTTCAACAAATGTTTTTGATATATATATATATATATATTTGTTCTGTATTTTCAATACATTTTCAGTGTAAAATCAGGTGTGCCCGTGTAACAATCACAAGCTACAGAGCATGAAACAGCTGCTGTCCCATTCACTCCTCTTGACCCTTTACTTAAATACATGCATTGACTTTCTCTTACAGCACTCCAGCAAATATCACATCAGGCTGCAGCATTCTTTAAATGACTGGGTTATACTGTTTTTATTTTAAAACTGTTCTTGAAGTATTTTATTCTCAACAAGGCTGCATTTGTTTAATCAAAAAATAAATAATAGCCTTGTTGCATATTAGTGAGTTTCAGCATCAATAATCCGGTCTTCAGTGTCACATGATCATTCAGAAATCATTTTAATATGATGATTTAGTGCTCAAGAAACATTAGCCAAAGTAGCCATCAGTTCTGTAAAATGAAGACTGAAGAAACAGCTTTCTTTGTAACTGATCCAAGATCATTTCAGTAGCTTGCAGGCCGCTGTTGTGTGCTTGACAGGGACACTCGCTTGACAGGGCTCTCAGCAGCAATGACGTCTGGACCACAGAAATGCCATCTGCCCCCAACTGCCTCACGCCTGCACAAACATGTTGCACGTTGTCATTATGCTAAATGAGCTTAGCTCTGTTACTGTGATGATGGACACAGTAAACAGAGTACTTTAGATCATGACATCAAGGTTCCTTAAGTGCTAGACAGTACGTGCCGCCTGATGTGTGCTCTCCCTGTCTTTCTTTTCTTTGCAATCATGGCATTTTAAATAGATTAAATGTCTAAAAAGGAATAGTTATCTGTCACAGTTACACACTCAGGTTGTTCCAAACCTGTAGTAATGTCTTTCTGCTGAACACAAAAGAAGACATTTTGGAGAAATTGGATAAACAACCAGTTGATGGGCCCCAATGACTTCCATAGTATTTTTTAAAATATTTTTTTTCTCCATACTATGGAAGTTAATGGGGTCCATCAATTGTCTGTTTTACATTTTCAAAACTCCCATTGCAGGTGTCTCATTCAAATGTTTACGTAGGCTACCTTAATTGGGAACACCAAAGATGTGGGACGTGTTCATTCACTGATACCAGTGTCCAGCTTAACTTACTGATCCAATTTGTAGAGCTTTCCATAAGAATTATAGGCGCCTTCTGGCCACTATGCAAGGCATTCTGGGAGAGGGATGTTTACTCCACACTGTAAACAAGGATATATAAAAGCCAGAGTGCAGTGCATTCTGTGCAACTCACAGCTTGAGACAGCCACTAAACAGGATCTACTCTATTCAGATACACCTTCCGCAACTGTAACCATGGTTCTGGAGGACTCTGAGGACAGCACTTTTGAAATTTACATCACTGTGCGTTCTGATATGATTTTATTGATCTTCTGCTATTGTTGTCTAGCATGCTGTTAGAACAGTGGACACAATGTTTAATGTTTTATTTGAGCTTTTTATTCTTTTTCAGGGGGTTTTGATTTGTTGTTGATGGCATTTGTGTTGTTTACTGTCCGGCAGCTTTGCTATATCCGGTCAAAATGCATTAGACATTTTTGTGAGAACGAACAGACTATTTAAGAGTATAGGGTGGATTTTTGGTGTGCAACATTCTTTTTTTTTTTTCGGATGAACTGAGGGAAATTTTGCAATAAATATGTTAATTTTAATTCAAATCAGTCAAAACTTTTTAACCATAATATTCTGGCATGCATGACTGCTGCGATTGAGAATGAATGAGATCAGCGAGTATCAGTATTTTCTCTCCATGACCTGACCATAACTTTGCTCAAATAGGAGGATGATGTGGAGACTTTGTTTGGTAAGGTGCACTGCACCATGAAGGGTGTCCCGAGGGGCAACCGGCCTACCATCCTGACGCTCCATGACATTGGACTGAACCGTAAAAAAACTTCTTTAAACCTTCTCACTCCATAGTGTGTTTGTGTGTTTTAAGTAACAGTATCAATGCTAGTTCCAGTGCTCTTAAAACTAGTATACCCTTCAACATCTCATCTGTATTCTGTCATAATGCACTGAAAAAAAAATGTGTATGAATATCAAAGGCTTAGTACCACGGTTGTGTTCTTTGTTGTGCAGATAAGAGCTGTTTTGAGTCACTCTTTAATCAAAAAGACATGCATGAGATCATGCAACACTTTGCTGTGTGCCATGTTGACGCCCCGGGACAGCAGGAGGGTGCCAGCACACTCTCCACAGAGTAAGTAAGAGTTCATTATACCACCTGATTATGCTTTCAGGACTATCAGAGCATCCGGAGGGATATAATTAACCAAAACCTTAAGATTTCTGTCTCAGCAACATTCAAAATGAATGGTTGCCCTCTCTCATTGTCAAAAAAGCAGAGAAAGAAACTTCCCCAGCTTCTAAGAAAGGAAATCCATTTCAAATCTGCTCTTTTGGAGTGGGTCTGTTTTAGGAAATATAATGCAGACCGCTTTAATCTGCAACGTATGGCACCAGAATGTAGGTCAGCATGTCACTTATAGCGTCTAAGGAGAGTAAAGAACATTTATGATCTGCCATCTGGTACAGCAACGTTAACTGACATCCATTGCCCATAATCCAACCATCCAAAACAGCATCCAGACAGATTATGACCTCGCTAATGCCTGGAAGGCCATCGACAAGTCCTAAATATCCTGCTGTGCTGTTTAACTGGACCGTCTATTTGACCTCCGTATTGTTCCACATGTGTAAGGCTAACAAATAAACCACTGTCTGCTGTTATAGGTATACCTACCCTTCGATGGATCAGCTCTCAGAGGCCATCCCTATGGTCCTTGAGCACTTTGGGTAAGTCTTCAATGCTCAATAATGGTATAAAAACCCATCTTAGATGTTTAATTCTTATTGTTGAAGCTTTTATGAACACTCTTGATCCAGACCAGTTTGAATGCTTGCTCTTTTTTCCTTTATAGTCTGAAGAGTGTGATTGGAATGGCTGTGGGTGCTGGAGCCAACATCCTTGCCCGCTTTGCCGTGAGTTTTATACACTTTACCTCTCAGTTGCATTTTGAATGGTCTTGAATATCACGGATAACAGTTCTGCAACTTTTGCTGAAAAGCAACGTTGATACTTGCAGTGTAATCCTGCTTGTTGAGTCAAACATATTCCAGAGGAGAATATTCAGTTTTAATTTCTCACAATTATTGTTTGTTTGTTTGTTTGTTTTTTGCATGTATCTCTTAAAGCTAAAACACCCAGACATGGTTGAAGGTCTTGTTCTGATTAATATGAGTGCTCAGGCAGAGGGTTTTATGGACTGGGCAGCACAAAAGGTACAAAAGCTGGTTTCTTACCGCTGGATTTGCATTCTTATGAGATTAGAAATGATTGGATTCTTAAACTAATTTGAAGGAGCTTATATATATGTTACAATGCACAAATCCTCACTAAAGTGTGACATTTTCAACAGATTACAGGCTGGACTCACGCTCTCCCTGATTCTGTAATATTACACCTGTTTGGAAAGGTGGGAACTGTTGAATATATACTATAAAAAATACTAATTTGACTGTATAATGAACAGATTCATTTATTCTGAATATAAATACATGCGCATTAATTCTCAATGTATTGATTGTTTTGATGTAGGAGGAGACACATAATCATGAACTGATCTCAACCTTCCGTCATCTCATTACAAACAATGTAAACCAGTCCAACCTGCAGCAGTTTGTCAAGTCCTACAAAAGGTATCATTTATGAAATTTGTGTCTGCACTGCAGTTACTCAGTTCCTGGGTTTGACTGTTTTAATAAACTTTACAGCATCTATTTATTGCAATACAGAGGAAAAAAGTTGAAATTTACCAATAATTTACTGAAAGCCTCTGAAATCATATTTCCTTCGTTTCTCAGCCGACGGGATCTGGAGATCGAGAGACCGGTTCAAGGAGGAAACGTTAATGTACAAACACTCCAGTAAGTCCCACCAGACGACAGTAAACATACTGATTTTGAGTACCTCACAATTGTGTTTTGTATAAATGGTTTTGTCTTTATTACAGGTGTCCAGTATTGCTGATAGTGGGTGATAGTTCTCCAGCAGTAGATGCTGTGGTAAGAAAAGTTATTCCTTTAAAGTCGATTGGTTGCAACAATTTCCCCATTATTGGTGGTTATTAAAGTATCCCCCATACTGCAGATAAATTGGAGGGAAAAAAATAATGGTTATCTTATTTGACCTCACAGGTTGACAGCAACTCCAGAATGAATCCAAATACAACCACCTTTCTCAAGGTCAGTGACCTTGCAATTTCTATTACAATCACTAAAACTAGAAAATATCTTTGATAAATATGTGGATACAAAAATATGCCTATATACTACAGATATTTTGCACATCCTTATTTTTTAATGGTTGAAGTGTCATTTTTAATAGTTAACTTTTTTTTTGCAGATGGCAGACTGTGGCGGCCTGCCTCAGATTGATCAGGTAGCCTATCATGATACATATACATCTACACATTCAAATCTGCATTCTTGTTGATATCTGACAGTGGTTATAAGCGAATTTACACTTGTTTATCTTCTTTTGCAGCCTGAAAAACTAATAGAAGCTTTCAAATATTTTATCCAGGGGATGGGCTACAGTAAGCGCACGTTGTTTTAACAACAACACTGAACTACTATCAAAAATATATACACGTATTTAAATAATATTCATATGACATTTTATATGTAAGAAAATGGCGGTCTCACTGCCTTTTCTCACTTTCTCCCCCATAGTGCCCTCTGTCAGTATGACCCGTCTGGCTCGATCTCGTACGGCCAGTAGCTCATCCCTCAACCGCAACCGCAGCGGTACAACAAACACGACGTACGAGCAGCGTGGACGTTCCCACACTGACGTCTCCATGGAGAGCGCCACAAACACAGAGCACAGTTCCTCCGATCCCATACTTTCCCCCGAGCTGACCTGCTGAACGCCTCTGCAGGCGGTTTAAAATTGGACCTAAAATGACAGAATTTGAACCTGAAAGCTGATGCTCCTGTGATTTGATCATAGTGTTTATCACAAGGGATAGGCCTATTAGAATAGATAGCCTTCACTGCAAACAAATATTGTAGCCTACTTAATAGACCAGGCACTTTGTTTTAAACATCTAAACCATTTGTAAACTACCATTTTATTACTTGTAATGTACAATTTGTAATATTTTATAATGATATAATATAAATAAGCTTATATGTGATGTGTACAGTAGGCTAGCTGTACAAATTGTGTGTGCGGGGTGTGTGTGTGTGTGTGTTTGTGTTGGAGGGTTTTCTGGTAAGGCTGAATGTTTGGAGGATTTTTTTATACTTTATAATTTCTTATTACATATAAATTCTATACTTGCAATTGATAACAGTAATGTCAAATACACTTGACAGTAGAGAGAATGACCACAGGTAGTCTACAAAATATTTGATATAATTTCCGAATTATTTCAGGTGGTAGGTGGCTATTGTAAAATCTTTCAATGTTGGTAAAATAACTTTGTATTTAACAAATAAAATTAAAATATAACAGTAAATTTAGTCAGTCTCACTGCTATTACATCTAAAACTAACTATAAAACTATATTTGTGTGTCGTGAATTTTAAACAGCACCATTACAGAAATTATGTACATCACTCGAGTGACAATAGAAATACAAGCTGATGCATAAAGAAAAGCATGTCTTTTTTATTAAAAAAAGAGACATTTCTGGAATATTTCCAGAATTAAATATGAACAGCAACAACGTGGCAAAATAAATGTCTGAATAACAAAAAGACCACTGTCACTTCTCTTGTATATTTCAGAATATGACACAAAGTGTATTTTAACACCATTTTACTCAAATATATATATTTTCAAAAAATGATTGCTATGTGTATTCCTTTAAGGAGAATTCCTTTTATCATTGAAGGCAATATGTATTTATTTTTACATTTTTCGTAAAATACAAAAAGTGATTTTCTTTCTAACTTTGCACAAATTTGTAGCGGGAAGTCAACAGAACATCTTAAATTTAAAATGTTTTATCCCTCATAAATCCATTAGAAATCTTACCATACCGTACCATAATGTCTGAACTAACATTCCCCTCGCAATCCATCTCAATATGAGTAACTGTGCTAATTTTCATTCATAAACCATCCGATATGATTTCTCATCAACAGTGAACGATTCCTTTCAAAAAGCATCCCTGTTTCTGTGTCACACCGTGAGCATGGATGCTTTTTGTAGACTACAAAGGTGAGTGCAAGGATGCCATAAAGAAAGATTGCATCTGGCTCTCGGTTAATTAGTTAACAATCTCCTTGAACTCATAGTATTGCTCCAGATCTGCGAAGATATCGTTTGGATTCCTGCAGGAGAGGTTGCAAAAACATGCGTTGATCCACATGTATTTCCAAGTAAGAACTGATCCATTTGGACAATCAAACTCCACCTCAATGGTCTTAGACTTGTAGGGGATGCAGCAGCGCTCATCAGTACAGATTCCACAGTACTTGGGCCAATACGCCTTCTTACTGATGCAGCCTGAGATGGTGAAGTACTGAAACTCTGGCTCACGGTAAATGTTCAGGCACTTTTTACCCGGCTGAGTCACAGATACGACAGACAAACAATCAATCAGCTAATCAATCGATCAATATCAATCAAAAAATCATTTAGATCAGGGATGGGCAACTTAGATTATTCAAGTTCTATCATTAAAATAAGCGAGGAAAAGTAGAAATGGATCAGCAAATTAAACATAATAGAAATGAATTCTTACTCTAAAGTGCTTGGTGATGTCGACCTCACAAGGTCGGAGGTTACACAGTCGGCTCTCTTTCTCCATCACACAACCAGCATTGTCGTTAGAAATGCGCAATGATATGCCCCGGCCACAGGTCTTTGAACAGGGACTCCATGGGGTAGTCTGGGTAACGCAATTTTTATGCCAAATATCATTAGTGGTGAGGGACTCTGAAAAAGACATAAAGAAAAAGTGTGAGATTCGTCAATGGCGATGAACTAAAAATGTTATAGTATTCTCATGGACATTCATCACCACACAAATTAAAATAAATCCCCAGATAGCAAATGTACGTCTGCAAGACGTCTGTTAAACATCCCTTCATCTGGAAAGCATCTGCTGTTTACTAACATCTGATAGACATCTTTAAGATGTCAGTTTACCATATAAATCATTACATCTTAAAGACATCTTCTAAACGTCTATTTGACATCTGACAGGAAACGTCCTATAGACGTAGTGCAGATGAGCAAACACTCTGATGTAAACACACACATCAAATATCAGGGGCACTGCTCACCCTCCTCAGGGGCATGTCTGGGGTTGGTCTTGCGTGGTTTACGGGACTCTTCGCAGATCCATTTCTCACAACATTGGCCTGTGATCTTCACTCGCTTGGGCGACTGACACCAGACCCGGGGTGGCAGGGACTCGGTGCAGAGAGACACACATCCAATTGCCCCATTCACACACAGACAGTGGTACTTACAATTGGGCTGGAAACTTTGGCCATTACGGTAAATCACACCGTTATATTCACAGCCTGTTCCCATAACATCTGAAACACAGAATTGACTGGATTATTTATTTCCTTAAAGGAATAGTTCACTTTCAAATAAAAATTATCCCATGATTTGCTCACCCTCAAGCCAACCTAGGTGTATATGACTTTCTTTTTTTCAGACAAATACAATCAGAGTTATATTGAAAAAATATGCTGGCTCTAAGTTAGATTAAGTTTTAGGTTTTATAATGGCAGTGGATTGCAACCAACTGCTGATATGTACGCTATGCCACGAGACGCGCTACGCTACTTCTGCCGTCATGTTTCGGAAGTTGCGCATTAGGGGTAAGTGGACTGCGTACGGCCGTTTGGCTGGAAACTAGAATTTTACTTTGTAAAGTGTTAAATATTAATATTTTTCTTACACAAACACATCTCTTCGCTTCAGAAGGCCTTTATTAACCCCGCGGAGCCGTGTGAAGCTTGTTTATGATGGATGGATAATTCACTACAATTATAAAGCTTGGAAGAGCCAGGATACTTTTTTAATATAACTCCAATTGTATTCATCTGAAAAAAAAAAGTAGTCATATACACCTAGGATGGCTTGAGGGAGAGTTAATCATGGGGTAATTTTCATTTTAAAGTGATCTAATCATTTATGTCAAGGACAAGAAACAATACAGGACACTGGACAGCCTAAAAGGTTTTGTACCAGAGTACCAATTTGACACAGAATAAAAAAAAGTAGATATTGCATCTAATCTGTCGGTGCAAAAACTGTTGTAATAGAATACGTTTAATATAAGTACATTAATATTTACATAATTTTCCAATATTGTGGGGTCCAGTCAAGATGTCAAAGACAACATTTTGAAAACCTAGGATTTAAAACCTGATTAAAACTTGGACAAAAACTGAAAGACGTAATATGTGTTAAAATGTGAATAAATTTAAATAATAATATATATATATTTTTATTTTAACATGAAATAATGAAATATTCTAACTATTTCGTTGTATATTTCATCGAATGCATAGTAAATTAAGCTTAACCAGTTAAAGAATATGTGGGGTCACTTACATGCACACACTCCTTTTTCGTACCTCGGCTTGTCAGCGCTGTAGTCACAGTAAAGTCCTTTATGGTAGTCACAGGTATCTCTCTCATTACAGGTTTCCCACACCTGCTTGGCACATGCCTTGCAGCAGTCACATCCATCTGTCAACAGGCTAACCCCATATGGGCAAACAGGGGCACTCTTGGGGCACTTACAGGGCCAATTGCAGTATCGATTTCGGTTATAAGGGTCCAAATCTGTGGTCACAAGAGGAGAGTCTGTGGAGTTGTGGGAACTGGCCTGTGTGGAAGAGAAGAGAGGAACATGAAGAAGATGCCACCTTTAGCCACTTTGGGGCAACAGAGAGTTTGCTTTGAAATTTCATTGAAATTGGACCATTTTAATAGGCTCCCAAAACTTCACTGCAGAGAATGTATTAAATTAGTTTAATATGAACAATAAGATGGCATAATCATTTTTAGGCCTACTGTTTATCTATATAAAATCCAAAAAGAGAGAAATGCAACATTATTTATTGTCATATAAATGGATTATATATTGTCATAAAATCCTCTTTGTAAATCAAACACTGCCTGCAACAGTTCTGCCTGGTTCTCAGTCTGATTTGTTCTCTCGCTCAAGTCAATCAGACTGTTTCTCTCAACAGTGGATGAAATGGAAACCCAAATTAGAACAGAAGGGAAGAGTAAATCTCTGACAAACCACACCAATTCAAACCAAAAAATTCTAAACGTGGAAATAAATTGGAAATAAAGTGTCTAAAGTGTTGTGTGTTTAATAAGACAGTGTTGATCAGCTAGGGGATAGGTGGGGAGGGAGGGCTTATTGTCCCAATAAGGCAAGTACTCACTGCAGAGTCAAATGACGTCCAGCTCCATCTCTCTGGACATCTAATGGGGTGGAAGGATAGAGTTGTTGGACATTTTAGCTCCACCCATTAGGGCCAAATTACATTTTACATTACAATTACAAATTATTTTACATTTTATCTAGCGAGGAGGGGCTAGACACAAGCTCCAACCATTTGCTCTGCAGCAGCAAGCCTCTCCAATAAGGCGGCTTCTATTGTTTAAATAGTATAAAAATATTAGGCCTAATAAATAATAATAGAATAGTAATAATTCAATATTTTAAAATAATAATTTTCAATCTGTTATTATTGCATTAACACTGAGAAGCTAATACTAGTATCTGCCACTATAATTAATATAAATAGCATCTATTTAATAGTTGTTTTTTTAACATAGTGTAAACATAATCTACTTTCACTTTATACTTTTCACGTTATAGCCTAACTATAACCTAACGTTATAGCATTATTAATTTCACAATCTCAATCAAAATGTTGTAGGCTGCTACTAAATATCGAGGCTGCACATGCGCGTTAAATTATTATAGCACATTGGTTAGTGCAAAGTCGTCAACAAATGTGGTCAAATAAAAATAAAGTATTGTCATCATGAACTGGCATTTTAAGTTTGGGAAAAAAATGATTAGGACTATTTACGTTTTTATTTACATTTGAGGGTTGGAATGAATGTGCAAGTATGGACATTTATGAATTTGAAAGACAAATCGCGCTTTCCAAGAACCAGTTACGGTGGCTCGCGCTTTGATTACGGAACTACTTTACTGAGCTATAAAAGCTAAAAGGCAGTTCATTTATATTCTTGCTTTCTTTAATTGTTAAAGAATTTTTATATTAAATACTGCGTTAAATCAACAAAATGATTGAACTTACCTGGTGCACGCTGGCTGTCAAAATCATCCACAACTGGAGTCTCCACATTACTATATTCCTGAGAGAAATACATTGAAAAAAGAAATGTTGTTTTCTACAGGTACAATCCACAAGCGTTCCCTCGTGGCATCCGCAGTGACCGCGCAGATGTGACGGTCAGAGTGACTGAGTCTCAACTTAACGTCAGTCTGTCTGTCAGATTTAGTGGGAGTTTACTGAAAGTTTTCCTTCGGTTCACTCCTGGTTCACTCCAGTTCAATCGCCAAGGGGGTTGGAATCAAAATAAAACATCTAAATTATTTAGAAAGTGAACTTTTCCAACAGTTATTACGTATTATAAAAACATCGTAATGATGTCTTTGCTGGTAATGATTTTGGCATGACATGAGCAAGGCATTCATTCATAAGCCATAGTAACACCCTTTTTACAGTCTATGAGGAACACACGAACGAAACAACTTAAATGCATTGTGTCTGCGCAATGATGTTTTGAGTAATTTGTTTTTGACTTCTCAAAGAATCCGATAAAGGACATTAAGTATTATATAGTCAGGATATTTACATAATTAACTGAGGGGTTACTGATGTAAATAGGAGAGGAAGATATTATAATCCATATGATAACCCATAGTTAATTCATTACTCATATTTACTTTCCATAACTGGTTGACATTTGGAGAGAAATAATTCCAGAGAGCAGCAATAATTCAAGATAAGAGCATCTGGACCAGGACAGAGAACTGTGTGGCCAAAAATAATTTCCTTCTGCACTGCCAGACAGTGAGAATGTAGGTATAATAAACCAGATATTGGTATTACTCATTTTCAAATGCAATTAAATTGAATTAACAAAACATGCACTGTAAAATATTTAGTACAGAAATTGGTTAACTGTAATTGGTCAATTGTAACTTTATACAGTGAAAATCTTAGTTTAACATCCCTTACGAAAAAGAAGTGTATTCAAGTGTGCCATTAGTATACTTCTTTTAAACTAAAAATAAGAAAGTTTACTTTCAGTTTACTTTTCCTGTACTTCTCAGAAGTATATGTACTTCTCAGAAATATACTTCAAATTACACTTAAGTGTACTTTACTTATACTGAGAGAAAAGCAAGTATATTTGTCCTGTTCTTGTACTCAATCTTTTGATCCAGAAATACTTAAAAGTATAATTAAGTATTCAAAGTATACTTGTGTAAGTATTACAGTAAAAAAGTAAACTACTAGAATACACATAAATTCACTTGCAGTACACATGAGATACATAATTATGAACTAGTTGTGCACTTACTGTTACACTTATAGTACACTTAACCATATACTTTTATGTTCTAAAAGTGGGCCAATTTAGTCCCAAGCGGTATTAAATTAGTACACTTAGAAGTTTACTACTAGTACATAGTGACATTAGTATACTTACTACATAATGTATACTTAAAAATATACTTGAACATTACTTAAGTATACTACATAAAATTAACTTGAAATATACTTCTTTTTCGTAAGGGATCCCATTATAATTTATGGAGAAGGTAGGTTTATGGTGATTTTAAGTAGACCGGCCTATTAACATTATATGACAAAAATATATACTTCCTGTACTGTATGTCTTTCTGTAAAACCTGAAACATTGTCACTGTCTAATGGTGATTTTTTGACAACCACATTTAACAAGAATTTTCTTTACAGTGCTTGAATATACTGTAATGTATTGCACTATTAAAAAAATAATAATCGTTTGGCTTTTTTTCTTTTAGTTATATTAACTGAAATATTAAAAAGTAAAGAAATGTAATTAATTCAAATAAATGAATGTTGATTTAAGTGCATTGTTTGCTGGGAAAACTCACATACGGTTAAGATTGAGCTCGTAACAGAGAAAACTAAAACAACAAATATTTTTGGAAGGCGCCTACACAGTATTTTGCAAGGTTTGTGTGATGTGCTCATATTTTGCCAAAACCTTGAAGTGTACACTACTGCTAAGGTTTCCACGGTTTGCAAATTAAAAAGCGACTGCTGGGCATCCGACTGCCATAGACTGATGCACTAAACAGAAGAACAGTAAAAATTCTTAACTAATCTCCTACACCACAGACAAAAAAAAAAGAAATATATATATATAGATGTTTCAGCCCTTAATGTGCAACTTTGTTTCATAGTTCATGTGGAAAATATACCACATTCTTAGAAAATGCCCTAAACCTTGACATCATTCATATGGGTGTACTGAACGTAATCAAAAGTGTCCAGACAGCCAGAGCAGAATAGTCTAGACAAAGAGGAAAGGCTTCTTATAATCTCCAGGAATAAAGTGATAATTAGTATCTCAGAATAGCCCTCAGTCATTGGCACACAAGCCTGTGGCACCATCTGGAAACTTGCAGAAAGTGAAACGGTCAGGATAACTCATATATTCTCTTGGCACTTTGGTCAGTCCTAATTCCATGTGACTGAACAATGTCTTCATTTTATTGCTATGTCACCTTATTCATGAAGATAATCTAATGCTCTATTTCTATATAATTTTCACACACACACAAAACAATTACCCACTACGGATTGAATCGACGTAGTCATGTGGTATGGTGTTTATAATATATCTGTTGCATGATATACGTTTTATAATGCTGGTGTGGTCGAAGCAAAAAAAAAAATAGCCTTGGTTGACGAAGTTGTATTGTGTTGTGTTGTAAAATTTGAACATTGAAGATTAAACCAAGTTTTTTCAATGCAGTTTATTGCTTAAGTTCTACTTTGAATGTTCATTGATTCATAATAACAGTGATTTACATCAATAGAAATACCAAAATGACAGAGTGCTAAGCTTGAATTGGTTGTGGATTGAGTGATTACAACTAAATCTAAATTGTGAGACTAACTGTAAGCATCTTTCTCAGATTTAGGTTTGCTTGCAGTCAGAAAGAAGCTGGTATCTGGAAGTGACTTGGGCTCTTGGGTTGGAATTTGATTTTGAATTCCTCCAGTTTCTCCCACTGAAGTCCCACAGGATAATTTGGCTGTGAAGTCAAAGTCAGATTTACAAGAAACCAAGTGCACTCAATCAGCATTAAAGACTGGTCAAAAAACCCCACTGCAATCTTCCAATCTCTACATTTAAAGACCACCAGGGGTTTATATGGATGTGTCGAGCAGTACTAACCGGTAGAGGAGATCAGAGCCAGCACATATTGAGACCAGAAGGAACACTGCGGGCTCTGGAGGTTCTTGCGGTTACTGAGCGTAAAGGACAGCTCTTTATAGCCACGTCCACCCGGTTGAGGGATGAACTGAGGCCATGGGGGCAAGAGCTTACTGAAGGACGTCCTAGATGTTGCAAGAGGCAGGTTGGGGTTTCTGTGAAGAGCAGAGTAGAGATGAACAGGCCAGTGCAAAATCATTACAGTCGGCATGAAATGAAAATGTACCCTTTTTTCTAAATGCGTGCTATTGAGCTTATTGTGAACAACTCATTTATGCAGGTGTTATGAATGAGATGAATAATGAGATGAATGAAAGATCTGTCGCTACGCTACTACTGTTAGATCGCACCTTTAAACAAAATATAAAAATGGTGGATGATAAATACCCAGACTTTATGAAGTTTGTCATGTAGTTCATGACTTGCAAGGTAAGCATTCTCTCTTTTGAGCTGAAGAAGTCTTGTTTTTCTGAGGCAAGAGGAACTCCAAAGAGGAACTGCACATCCGTTGGAAGTGACAGATCAACACTGTGAGAAAAAATATATTAGACAGGGTTTTTTTTTTCAAAGTTTTGAAATTTAAGTCTTGGGAAACCCTTAAAAACCACCATATTTCTGAAAAGGTACTTGAAAAGTGCTTGAGAAGACAATGGGCTATAATAGAAAATAGAGTTTAACTATCTTTTCTCACCATCTGATATTGATATAGAGCCATTTCACATGGCTATGAGCGTGATATTGCTCATATATTTATTTAAGTATGTGATACAGCTTTCATTATTCAGGTCAATCATATATTCAAGGGAGAAAAAATCAGTTTGAATAAGGAAAGCGATATCTTTGTCATAGTATTCTTTTAATGGTTAACGTTTACACAGCTATTGCATGTGCTGCACTTTATTTGTACCATTTTTACTTTTTTTTTTTATTATTTATCTATTTACCTTTTTCAATTTTGAAGATAATAAAGATATTAGTAGTCCTTGAAAATCCAAAAAAAAATTCATTTTACAGTATCTCTACAAACCCCGTTTAGAATACACAGAGATTCTTCTTGGATCTGATAGATGCTATTTTGAATGGAACCAAGTCATGTACAATGAAGTAAGTATGAAATTATGTGTGTGGAATGAGAGGTACCTGCTGTAGGCAGTGTCCTCAGGTAGGTGGTACATGTGAACACTGGACTGTGTGTTTGCTGCCCAGAATTCAGCCATGTCCACAGCTGGACAGATGATAAAGAGGTCTCTGTGGAAATAAAGGGCCATGATATGGATGACAGGTGAACATGATTTCACCAAGAACCACATGTTCCTGGATCAACATCTTTGTTGATCCTGGATAAGCTTTCCAATGAACCAATCAGATTTGAGGGACAAGTTTACACTTTATGTCAAGTTTAGGCTTAGAACCAGGGTGAAGTACTTAAACATCAGTGTTATTCACCTTTCATTACCCTCTGAGTTTAGGGAAAAGTTATGGGTAGGGTTTGGGTAACGACTACATTTTGGGACAGGAATGTTATCCAGAAATCCAAAATATGTTGATCCAGGACCATGTCTTACTTGACAAAATCACGGTGACCATGGATGACATGCATAGCAAGGGAAGGCTTGGGGCCACACAGGGGCCACTTTTTAAACCACTTTTACACTTTTATCGGGCAGTATCGCAACAACAGGAAATTGTAGTTAAAAGAGCATCAGGAAATGAAGCTGGACATAAACTTGGTTTTACCAGGTTCTATATGTTCTATAAGTCCTTTCCTGTTTGTGTTGCTATGCTGCGGTGCCTTTGCGTGCTGCAGGTCAGAGGGGTGTGTCGCATGTGTTGGTCAGGTTTGGTCTGTACTATATCTGACACTAGTGATTATGTGGGCAGCCATCTTATCCTCTTTCTGAACTACTGACAATTCAGAAAAAGAACCAGGAATTTCAGGACATAGAACTGGAAAGGAAATGTGAAATTGTCCTTCAGAGATTAGCTAATCTTTTTTTAATTTTTTGATTTTAATTTGATTCTAGCAGGCATTTGATTTTACTCAACATGACATATTTTGGCTATGATTCCAACAGTGACCACTGCAGTGTTTGGAGATATCTGGTAATCACAAACAACAATGAATCAAAAGAAAAAAGAAAGAGCTTTTCGTTAAAATGGACTACTGTCTGCTGAATTTTCCAGACACACTTGAGTAAATTCTCTCAAGATGAGCTCAAGATGGTTGTATCTGCCATGTATCATTTAGAGCAGGGTCATTTCTGCCATAACCTATACTAAAGAAGATAAACATATTTCTGTCAGGACCATTATCGTCTAAGATGAGTGACAATTAGCATACAGTTTGGGTTGGCGGTATGGTTCTGTTCTGGCAAGAACTCCCTGCCCATATTCCTAAAGGTAGACATGGATCTGAGAGTCAGCTGATGCGAGCTTGACTAACTTGACCTGCTATGCTTGATTACTTGAAAAGTCATCAAATTGTCAGTAAAACATCATTAAAAGTGCCATAGACTATTTTTACAGTATTGTTTTTTAGGATATATGCATAGTCTTCCTCATCTAAAATTAGCTGTCTCCATGTTATTTGAAGTTCTATGAAATTGTTTTAAGATCAGTGATGAGTGAAAGCTTCTATTAGGACTCTTTTAAACTCACAAGTATTTTTTCAGTCAAACCCAGATAAACCATTTCCTTCCTCTTTGCTACAAACACGTCAGCCTACACACCCACAGTTGAATGTAAGACAAGCACGGGTTAAGCACAGAGTCCAACCCTAAGGCTCAAAATTATTTCGGCTCTGGATTCCTCTGCATTCCAGACCACTTAACATTTTTTTTTCAAGGATCTGAACAAACATACGTTCACAGCTGTGAACACATTGAGATTCGCTTTTATTCAGTTTGGCATCTAACTAAAAAGTTTGCAACTAGCATTCAAAGCTTCACAAACAAAAAGCTGATCGTGGGCCTTTAAATTCAATTAAAACTCTTTTTTTTATTGGTATGATTTTTTAATGATTGTTTCTTATGCTCACAAAGGCTGCATTTATTTGGTCAGTGAAGACAGTTACAATTTAGAATAACTGTTTCCTAATTTAATATATTTTAAAATGTAATTTTTATACCGGTGATGGCAAAGCTGAAATTTCAGCATCATTAGTCTTCAGTGTCACATGATCCTTCAGAAATCATTCTAATATGTTGGTTTGTCGCTCCAGAAACATTTCTTAACACTGTAACAGTTGAAAATATTGTAATTTTGTATATTCATAATATATATTAGTATATATAGTATATAAATACAGTATATACATAAATGCACACACATATATATATATATATATATATAAACATTTCAGGATTATTTGATGAATAGAAAGTTCAAAAGGACAGCATTTATTTGAAATGGAAATCTTTTGTAATATTATAAATGTTTTTAATGTCACTTTTGATGAGTTTAATGTCTCCTCACTGAAAAGTATTACCAGTAAATAAAAAAAAATCGTAATGACCATACTCTTTTGAATGGTAGTGCAAGTTGTTTGGTACACATGCTTTATCTCCAAGGTTCTTATATTGACAAGAAAATTTACTTCTGTTCTGTAAGACCTTTGACCTCTTACCTCGTAGCGTTTTCCAGAGCGCGAGAGAACACATTGTACCCTGAGGGTGTCGGAGAGTGCTGCAAAGAGTAGAACCAGGTCGCTGCCTCCTTCACGAAAGCATTGGCGTCATCTCCACCCAGAGAGTTAGACAGGGCCGCGTAAAACGCTGTCTTACTGTCAGCCCTTCCCTGGAGCTGCTCAAAATTCTTCTCAAGTGAATGAAACAGAAAAGTGTCAATGAGAAAATGTCACAGTATTCTATTAATGAAACCCTACTAATGAATATTCTAAATAACGCTTGATTTCTCACACTGGTGTTTTCCTTTAATTCTTATATATCTGTGTCCTGACCTTGATGTTCTTGGCTCTGCTGATAAGGCCGTCTTCAACTGATGAGCCCAGAAGTAAATCGACTCTGTGGAAGTGTCCGGAACGAAGAACCACAGAAGGCTTTTCCCGAACTACAGTTCCATCAACCACTGGTGACCAGGCCTGCAGGGGACCACTCACAGCTAACAACTACACACAAACACACCAAGAGAACGTTAAACAAAAATAATGATCGCTTTTTTACTTTTTTGTGTTTTTTCTTCACAAAGGTGACCCATTGTACCTTGGTCTGGGCAGCATTAATGCTCTGAGCCGGTTTGCTCCTCAAACAAGTCAGTATTTGAGTAGTATCAGCTGCCGAGCAGCCAAGTTCTCTAGCAAGAGATGCAGTTTGCGCCTGGGCTTTAGATGTACTCATTACAACAGCAGGCGAAAACACAGATCCACCCTGCAAGCATACAACAGCATTGTTAAACATTGCATGAGACCACTAAAAAGTAGGTCTGGGTAATAAATATCGATTTCTCGATATTAATCGATTCTCATTTTTTACGAACCAATATCGATTCGTAAATCTCAAGAATCGATTAGTCATCCTGTTTCATAAATTAATGGAAACATTGTCTCGCGGCTGCGCGCATCCAAAAAAATCGCAATAATCTTTGTCATTTGTTACTATTGATATAAAACAAAGTCTCAATTTTCAAATTACGTCCATTTTTTTTTAGAAATTCAAAAACATAAATAACGTTTTGGCGCTGTGGCGTGAGATCGCTCTGGCGCAGCTCAAGAGACGCAGCAGCGCTGCTGATCTCTCTTCCGTCTCAATAATACCAGTCACATTGTGAAATAAACATGAATGAGCACCTGAAAGTGTGTTAAAAGATATGAGTACAACTTATCGAAATCCGTATCATGTCACATTGAATCGCTCAATCAGCGTTTCAACCGTGGAAAGACGTCAGTTAAACAGCTTGTAATCAATGTCATCGTCATATTTACCTCAGAAAACCCACATAAACTCCTTAGTCAGCTAAAAAAAATAACTCTAGAGGAGCATTTTGCTAAATATATACACCATATTACATATGCATCATAATCAATATTGAATGCATATTTGAATATGACAGCCACCATTTAAATGTTTATATTTCATATAATCTTCCTATTATAAAAATAAATAAAAGTGTAATTTAAGTGTTTGTATAGCTACAAAACAGTTCATTATTACCTTATTAGGCTAATGAAGCCTATAGGCTACAACTAGACTCCCAGCATTAGTTAAGAGATTTGATTTCCTTGAGAAAATGTGCCTTTTATTGTAACTGATATCCAAAATAATCAATATTGAATCGAATCGAATTAGAATCAAAATCGAATCGAATTGCAAGCTTGTGAATCGAAATCGAATCAAATTGTGAAATTTGTGTCAATACCCAGCCCTACTAAAAAGGTATCTGGATCTTTAGTCAACAACCATGATGAATTATTTTCATCTAGACTTCATTTATTATGGGTTTTTGTTATTCGGTTTGAGAACTGAGAAAGAATTAGGCCACATCAACGCACATTTTATATTAATGCATTATGGTTTAGAGTTAAGACCACTAAAAAAACTTTCCAAAAAAAATCATGAAGAGTAGTTTCTTTGCATACCACAGCTATTTATACACATGTTTACCCGAAGACGTAGACATAGTACATATTTGAATGGATTTGCATGTGATTATAAAGCATTTAATTTCAGCACTTCCTATTTTTGCTTATATGTAGAGTGGAAAGTGTGGTGAGAAACAGTTTCCCCATTTACTCAAGCCATGCCCTTAAAGTCTTATCAGTGAGAAGTTGCACAAGAGAACAACAGCAGAATCTAATGACACTCTTTTCTCAGAACAGAAGATTGTCTCAGTTGGGACAGACATCTGATGGCTGGTCAGATGTGATAAATCTGTAGGAATAGCAGCGGGAGATTGACAATGGGAAGCGCTCAGGCAAGACAAAGAACCCCAGAGGATTTCAGACAAACTACTACTAATGAAGACTTTCCACCGAGAGGTACGAAAACGCTGAACACTGTTTGAGTGACAATGTATGAGTGGTTTCAAGTGACGTTTCTAGTTATTGTAGACAGATGCCACATCGTTTCGATAATTTACAGATGTTGTGTTGTGTGAAGAGACTCTGTATTCAAATAAACTGTATTAAAACATACAGATATCAGTTCTCTTTCTGAGCAGAATGTGCAGCGTAAGCTGTGGTGTGTCCTTAAACTGAAGTAATATTCAAGACAAAACTGAACTTCTCTTTTCAAAACAGATGTGTATGACCTAAAATATAAAGTATCTAAGATTAGACACAAATATGCAGAAATCTCTGGTAACAGATACCCATGACCAAAATGGTGATTAAAAACAGATGTTTGTTTTTCTGTTTAGTTAGTCAATCTTGACTTAATAAATGATCAAGTAAAAAAATTAGCTTAAAGGCTAATGGAGCCCATTAGCTACTTTACTTCTTGTTTCCTTGACATACGAAAACATCAAGTAGCATAAATAAACATTACTAAAATCCTTTTTTCCAAGATACAGATGCTGTATTTTCTATTTTACAGTGCATGAGAATGACACAGCAGTAGTGTTGGATAACTACCCTCCTCCTGATATCTGCGAGCCCATATTTCGAATGGGAGACTGGCTGAAAATAGTGTCTGAGTAAGCATTAGCATTTCATGTTCTCTTTCATCATCTCGTGTTCGAGAACCACCTTTGGGAAGGGCATCCGTACCTGACCTCTGCAGAAGCATCCAATTGCACCAAGTCTGGCTAGACAGACAGAAGCGGGCAGCCAATGCCAGGTAAGGCCCCGCCCCCTACCTGAGGGCATATAACACCTGCAAGCGTTGCTATTCTCTAGTTGACATTCGCTTCTCGCGACCTCTGTACGTACACAGTTCGATTGGATTACACTGAATATGAGTCGTTTCTCAACCTATCAGCTGTTTTCTGCATCTGGGACCGCCCGCGCTCTCGCTGTTCTCACCACCTCGAGTTCTTCGCTGATGTCACCAGTAGCACATTCAGTTTTAGGGATGGGGTCTTCTTAGCCCTTCCCTGAAACCCCATTGGAAGTACAAATAAGAAGTGAACGTGCCGGCTGGCCATGCACATTCCTGTCACCAAGCACTTCTGGGTGTATACATGCACATTTGTGTTGCTGGGATTATTATCATGTGTGTGCCACTTGTGTGCAGTTATGTGCGTGTGTCTGGATTGCAGGTTCATGATTATGGGACGTGTCAGGCACCGCCTACCTGGGGCGACCATCCTTTCTGGCTTTCAGAACCTCACTGTGAGTGTATTGGCCAATCGGGGAGCTGTCCATGTCTCTCTCATAGGTGGATCTCGAACGAGTGGAGAGATCCACCAGCTTTGCCCCGCTTGTCACACGAGAAGCGAATATAGGCTACTTACTGGAGAATAGCAGCGCTTGCAGGCGTTATATGCTCTCAGGTAGGGGGCGGGGCCTTATCTGGCATTGGCTGCGCGCTTCTGTCTATCTACCCAGACTTGGTGCAATTGGATGCTTCTGCAGAGTTCAGGTACGGATGCCCTTACCATAGGTAGATCTCTCCACTCGATGTTTCAGAGAACCGGGGTTATGATAGTAACCTATTGTTTCTACAAGAGCTCTGCCTTTTTACATGTTTTACATTATTATTATTATTAGACAAGCAAGGACATACACAGCCATTCCAAAGTTTGGGTTTGGGAAGATTTGTATGTATTTTCTGAAATAAGTCTCCCATGCTGACCAAGGCTGCATTTATTAGATTAAAAATAGAGTAAAAACAGTAATATTATGAAATATTACAATTTAAAATAGCTGTTTTCTATGTAATTTATACCTGAAGCTGATTTGGTGATCTAGAAAAATTTCTTATTATCATCAATGTTGAAAACAGTTCTTACAACAGATACTTTTGATGATTATAAAGTTTAAAGAACAGAATTTATTTGAAATGGAGTGACTGTCAGCTTTATTGGTGTTCTAGAGACAATGGGTCTCATTCATGAAACACGAGCAGAACGAATTTGTGTGTAAATCGTGTGTAAAGTGGTTCTGGCGTAAATTTTCGGATTCATTAAAATGTTCGTATTTTCTAAATGTTAGTTGGTACGCAAGAAATCTACACCTGCTCCCAGCCACGCGTAAATGGTACGCTTAACATCCGAACGTTTTGCTCATTAATAACACTGCATTTAATTCACCAATGGGTACATATTTAAACAGCATTTTGAAAACATATTTTATATAGTAATTACTTACGGTTTTTCTTTTTACTTTTATAATGAGAGCCAGTAATAGTAGATCTGGTGATCGATGGCAGTCCTTCTCCAGTTCGAATACGATTTTTCCGAAGTGAACTAATTCGTTTTTTGCTGTCAAGCTTATTTTCTTCTCACTTCCGGGACTGTTCGATTAACAGATGAAACTCCATTAACTGCATCTGTAATATGCTGTCAAGCTTCTTTTTTTAGGACCTGATACGCCACTATGTACGCTTGAAAATAAAATGTGGCGTTTTGAATGAACCTCTGATAATAAAACTTCAATTTCTGCATCCGAAAAATCGTTCTTTTTCATTCTCAGTCATGTTATTATATATGCATATAGATGTCAGTCGGATATAATGGGCCTGATTTATGGTATAATTGAGAATGAACGTGCACGCGCATCCCATTTACACACACACACACACATTTCACTATCACATCTGACGTTTACGAAGTATTTGTGAATCAGGAGAAGAGTTTTCGGGAAGGTCTCTTTACGCGCATATCACTCTCATATTTACTCGTAAATTTACGAATGTTTCATGAATGAGACCCAGTGTGTGTGTGTGTGTGTGTGTGTGTGTGTGTAAACTTTTAGGTTTAGGAGTGTTTGTATTCAACTATATTTATAGCAATGTTTGACAGTTGCTAGGCTTAATGTGTGAATGCACAACTGACCACAAAACCCTGTGTTAGTATTAACACTACCTTCCGCTGTTTATCACACGCACAAAACTTGTTTTTCACTGAACAGAAATAGTTTTTTTTTTGTTGTTGTTTTTTTTGTGGATAATTATAAACTAATTATAAATAATATATAATATAAAGCATATAATTATAAAGCATAACTGTCCACCAAACTTTCTTTCAGGGAAGGGTATTGGTGGAAGGTCTACTCAGTCAACACGAAGGAAGTGAACTATATACCGCACTGTCATGCCACAAAAGTCTACCATGGGTAGGTTCTGAATTTGCAAACTAAACAAACTTATTGTCAGTTACCCTACGCTAACTGTTGAAGTGCTAATGGAAACATTCTTGATTGTCTCAGCTGGCTGTTTGAAAGTGTGACCAGACCAAAAGCTGAGGAACTGCTTCGACTCCCAGGGAACCGAGTGGGGTCGTTCATGATTAGAGAGAGCACAAAAGGTCAGAATTCAACTTTAAAACGAACATTAAACTCCAGTCTAGTCTCACACAGCCAGACTGCATAAGGTCTGGTCCATGTTGAAGCTTATTTTTGACAAGAACTGCCCACTAAACAGGAAGAAACTGTCAGACAGAAAGAGTTAGATTAATCCAAATTATATACTAAATCATGTTTTTGGCTTATAGGTTTGAGGTTACAATCATATTGCTTTTTTGTATTTTTGTAGGTATGTACAGCTTGTCTGTACGCCACAGAACTATTAAGCATTATCAGATAGTTCGAATGCCAAACAACTGGTATTTCATCTCTCCACGCCTCACATTTCAGTGTCTGGAAGATCTGGTCAACCACTACTCTGGTAAATCATGTAATACATAAAAAAAAGTAATTTGTGCTGTTTTAGTGTAAAAGATGATCAGATTTGATGCAGATTTTCCCCTCTTGCTCTTGTTTAGATATAGCAGACGGCCTGTGCTGTGTTCTTACCGGCCCGTGCTTGGCCGTCTGTGAAACACACCTGAGTGAGCGCAAGAAATCGACTGGGAGAAAATTATCCTTTGACTGGAGAGCAGTGAACAGGTAAGAAAATCAGTAAAAGCCGCTCAAAATGTTGTTTCTTAAAGGGAAGTTTAAAACTGAGATTCACCTCATCGGTGTTTGAACTTTCATATAAACATGGAAGAAATTAAAATACTGTAAATCTTTTCAGACAAAATCTATAATAGTGATGCACTTTCTCTCAGCTCCGAGCTCATCCCGCAGAGTACAAGCCCTTCGGCGGTCAGCTATGGAGTCCAGAACAGTGTCTCTTCCTATCTGTCTTTACTGGGAGAGCAGGAAAAGCCAGAGAGAAAGAAATTTAGTTTGAAGAAGAAGAGGTGGAGGTCTGTCTACACATTGCCGAACCACCAGCTTGAAAATTTGGCCATTGTGGAGGACAACTATGAGGAGGTGCATTGATAGATCACAGCTAATTCATTTGTGGAACTCAAAAGCTGATATCTAAAGGCACTGTTGTTTGGGAATCCTAAAGGGACTGAATTTTTGGTCAGAAAGATATTTTCTTACTCAAGGTTAGGCTTATGAATGAGTGTTTTAAGATGCTTGTGTAACCATGATTCATTATTTTTGGACTAGAGTAAACAGATTTTACTGTAAATGAGACCTCAAACATTAGTCTTGTTACACAAAACAGTGGTGTTATATAACCGGCAGTGGGAGCTCAGAGTTCTGTTCTTACCATTAGTAAAGCTCGGCGGAAGAGTGATGAAGCTGATGGCGAGGTGAGATGAAGGCTCGCAATGTCGGCTCCGTTTCTCTCTGCCCCTATTGTGACTTTATTGGGGTCTCCTCCAAACAAAGCAATGTTTTTCTGAACCCAACCCAGAGCAGCTGCCTGGTCTTGCAAGCCGTAATTCCCCGGCAGAGCACTGGAACCTACACAGAGTGAACAGACTTCAATTCATGAGGCACATTTTGTATCTCCAAATGTATTTTCCACACTATCACTCCAGAAGATTTGCAGTAGATTACTGAGAAATTACCTTCACACTATAATCAGCATGCGAGAGTCTATTCATTATAGAGACGATTAAAACAATAATAATCATTTTTTAAATGTTTACTCAAATCTTCAAAGCTCCACACGGGTTTAGCTGGGAAATTCAAGGAAGCCAATCAGGCCTCTGCACAGCTTTCACTGTGTTGTTTTTGGCTGGACAGTGAAAGCTCATCCTGGCAGACTACTCAAAGGCACCCATTAGGCCCCCTTTTCAAACGTACTCATCCAACGGTGGCAAAGGGGAAAAGAATCTGAATATTTTCACAACCACCGTGTGGAATGGAACTTCTCACATGGACCTTACGTAACTATATTCCATAACCATATTCCATTGCATTTTTTGGAATTCCATTTTATGGAAGAAATTATCTAATTTGTGCAATACGTCATTCTGTTCTAAAAGAGCTTCCAAGGCACTGTTTAATTCCAGTGTAGGATATACATTAAACTGTCTCAATAACAGAGATTCTTTCCTTAAAACATTTTGAAGAGTTTTCAGCATAAAGTGCTAAGGGAGCCTTTCTATGTTTTGTTGCATTACAATAAAAAAATCAAATAAAAATATTTTTGTTGGCAGTAAGGTTTTTTTTTTTTAAACAGAAATCTATACAAGGATGCATTAAATCAGTGTTTCTCAACTCCAGTTTTCGGGACCCACTGCTCTGCATATTGTGTATGTCTCCATTATTTAACACACCTGATTCAGATCCTCAGCTCGATAGGATAGAATCTATGAACTGAACTGAGTGTGTCAGACAAAATGTGCAGAGCAGTGGGTCCCGAGGACTGAAGTTGAGAACCACTGCATTAAATTGATCGAAAGTGACAGGACTTTTACATTGTTACAAGATTGTTCTAATTAAAATAAATGCTGTTCTCTTGAACTTTCTATTAAACCCTGAAAAAAATGGATCACAGTTTCCACATAATTATGAGGCAGCTCAACTGTTTCAGCATTGATATTATTAAGAAATATTTCTTGGGCAAATATCATGTGACACTGTAATGATGCTGAAAATTCCCCTTTGCCGTCACAGGCAAAAATGACCAAATATCCAAATAGTAAAATTTGTGGGGCTGGCTAAAGTCTTGGAATATTTTTAAGATCAAAAATATGAACACATTTGTTCGTACCTGCACTGAGGAATCCAAAAGTGGCCACTCTGAAACTGGCTGTCACAACAATTATGTTGCCAACAGCAGCGAGGTAAGAACCATCTAAGAGACCCGATCCAGAATTGTGGAAAAACACCAGAACCGGCACATTCTTTCTCTGTGACAAAACAATTCATTTTTTACTATTAATTACCAATATTTGTATCCACACCACAGACAGCGGATGGCGTGGTTAATGAAAACAGTATTAACAGGCGTAAAAGTTCATTACAAACAGTGTGGTCAGTTACACTTTACAGTATTTTGATGGTCCCCTTTAGACATTCTGTTGACTATAAGTAATGATGCGCCTATATGTCAACAACTCTCAGAGTATTAAGACTGTTAGGAACAGGGTTTCACACGGATTTGACAAAACCTGAAAAAAGTGCCTGTTGCCGTCTATCAGTGTGATGTAAAAAAAATGCATAATGCATTCTAATGCATGACTTTTTTAAAAACATTTTGAAACATTTGAAAAAACGTACTGGCCTGGCCCTAAACCTTTGTTTTTTTGAGAGCATGTTTGAGATCTTGAGTATGTCATGGGGGTCTTACCACACTAGTAGCAACAAACACATTGAGATAAAGACAGTCTTCACTGGAGGTGGAGTCAGTGGGGTCACCAGGCTGAAGACAACTGGATCTAAAACGGTTTTGAACAAACAAGTCAGATCTCTTCCCAGAAAAGTGACAATTAATTCTACAGAAAGGCAAATGGTCAATTTGAGGGTATACATGTATGAGAACATACATTTATACTCTCACATTCTGCAATCTAAGTTGTTCACGCACCGGGAAAACGTGGCATTCCAGGTAGCGGTCCAGTCAGCTGGCTGTGGAGGGCTGAAACGGAGCTCTCCTATTGGTGGACGAGCATAAGGAACACCCAGGAAGTAGGTCACACGCTTGCTATCTAAGCCAGTTATGGATTTCACCTCACTCTCTCCAAGTAGTGTGCCGTGATCAAGGATGAAAACAGAAGTCATCTCTGGCTGTAAACCTATAAAGAAAAGATTAAACATCTCTGTTGTTTGGATGAAAGAGATCAGAAACACTCTGAACTGATTGAGACTTGAGTAAATAGAAGGATGTTTTGTTTTAGGGTGTCACCTGTCCTGATATGAACAGATTGAGCGGGCTCTTTGGTAACTAGTAAGCAGCGCTGGCCGCTAGTTGTAGGAAGGCAGGTATGTGTGTCTGGATACATCACACATCTCATGGCTGACTCTCGACTATCGATAGATACGGCTGAACAGGACTCACTTTCCTCACAGGCTACAAAGAACACGAAAGTTATGAGCACACAAGTAGATCCACATGCATCTGTATTGTAAATTACAAACAAATAAAACAATTGGCTGTTGATTAGTATTCATAAAGCAAATTAAAATAGATAATATTTATTTTATAGTAAAATAATATTTCAAAGTTACTATTTTTAATCAAATAAATGCAACTTTGGTGAGTAAAGGCGATAAAACGTTTATTTAGATCAAAAATAAACTTCTACATGTGTTCAACATGTAATATGTGGCTCAATCACATTCAAATACACAAAAATTCTGAGAAAAACAAAAAAAGGGATAGATAGAGATAGATGTTACCAGAAAGACACCAGTCTCTGACTTTATCTAGGTCCTCGGCAATGTCTCTGCTTATGTGGACAATGTCAAAAGCAGAAACGGACGAATCCACCTGCACAGAGACGCCATCCAACTGCTTCCAGTTCTTCAAATCAACTGGAAAAAAAATTGCAATATAAGATACACAATGTTATTTGTGGAAATTAAATAAAAGAATAAGAAATTATATTTAATTAATAGAAAAGAACAATTAATTATTCATTAACGAGTCAATTACCATTATTTATGGGAGAACGAAGACTAAATGGTGGACACACACTGGGATTCTTTGTCCATTGGTTCACTAGAGACATACAAAGCTGATGTTTAAAATCTTTTCATCAAGTCATTCACTTCCTCAACTGGGAATTCTCAATTGATTGAGTTTCTCAGTTTAAAAAGGCACTTGGATTTCAGACACACCTGGCTTTTCATACCAGCCGAAGGGATAGACTTCAGTCTGCACTTTGGATGGGGAGCAGTCCTGAATTCTCCAGTTAGTGCTGTCGTTCTCTCCACACGTCTGGATACCCAGACTATTTAGCGTAAGACACAACACATCCGATCCTGTACAAATGAAAAGCAGAGACTAATTGTGAGTGGTTTCATTCCTCAGATTAGACATATAACATATGTTTTAAGCAAAATAATTAGTCTGAAAGTGAAGATTATTTCATACCAGGTACACCTGAATCTTGGACATATCCTATGCCACGACAGCATGGATCTTTATCACACCGCCTCTCACACTCAAAGAACCTGCTCAAGGAATTCCAACAGCATTATTCATGAGGGATACAAATAAACTGCTATAGAAAAACACATTTGTTGACTTTCCCCTCACCCTTCTGTGATAGATTTACGGGAAACACTGACTCGACTGCGTACAGAGTAAGACACCATCTTCTTAAAAGGAACGCGGCTGTAGAAGCTCTTCACACTTCCGATCAGGGAAACTGCACAAAAAAAGAAAGTGATGAGCACATTTTCTATCTTGGAAAAAATAAGCATTTTGGTGTATCAGTTGGTTACCTAATGGACCAAAAACTGAACCATTTATCAAAAAAAAAAATAAAAAAAATCCATGTACTGCTTTTGGGGAAAAAAACTAAACAAAAAAAGCCTGTTTAATTATGAGAGATTGATTCCCTTCAGTACAAGCTAAAATAAAACGCTGGCTCAAAAAAAAAAAAAAAAAAAAAAAACCTGGGAAAATCTCTTTTATAGCATTGAGAAAACCCTTTATGGCAGATTTCCACCTAGGCAGCATTATTTTCCACCCTTAAACATCATCAGCAGATGGTCCACATGTTAAGAGTTTATGATCTCACCTTTTTGTTGTGGATTACTTTATAGGCCATGAAACATTCAATCCCCTGTGATCCCGTATTATGACTGAAAATCACTGCACTTGTGTTCCAGGAACGGATAATACGACTATCAAATCTTGTTTTGGCATTTTAAAGATGCTTAATATACTTACACTTTTGTTTGTTTGTTTTTGAAAGAAATGTATATCCTGCTTTTTTCAGCAAGGATACATTGAATTGATCATATTACAAAAGATTTTGTTTATACTTTATTTTAAGGTGACGTAGTTACATTGTACTTAAGTACTGAGTAATTATAATAACATGCACTTACTATAAAGTTACGGTTAGGGTTTTGTTTAGGGTTAGTTTGGTAGTTATAATTATGCACAATTTACTGTTATTACTATAGTAATTACAAACAGTAACAAGTAACTATGTCACCTTAAAATAAAGTATTACCAAGATTTCTATTTCAAATGAATACTGTTCTTTTGAACTTTGTATTCATTAAAGAATCCAATAATTTATTGGTTCTATATAAGGTTTTATATATAACGTCATTTTTTATTCCCATATAAAAATCTCTCCAAACAGACAGGCTTGTTCTAAAAAAAAGACCAATATCTCTCCGTAAATTCCTAAATAGTCCCTTATAAAAGAAAGCTAAAAAGCTAAAGAGCGGTCAAAGTCTTTGCTATGCAGAGGAATGAATGACTAACGTAATCCGGGAGACACTCCATCATCTGTCCACTTCTGTTAAAATAAATTACATGTGATTCCACATAGTTTAAATCATAGAGCTGTTCTGCAGTTTAGACAGACATCTGGAATAACTACATTAATGTCATTCACTGGCTTTACCAAACTTACATAATACTTATTTTACCATTTCTAATCAAAAGGCTAACAATGAACATCATTCATAAACCACATTTAGACAGTCTCCCCCTTGTGCTTTTCTTTCAAATGAAATTCTAATACCTAGAGGAATTGGGAATGGTGTAGAATGGAGCAGATTTTGAATATAAAGATTAATTTATTACCATTTAAAGAATTGTGTTGAATTTCAAAATTCAATTGTGCATAATTTGTTATTAAGTACATAATAAGTACATAATGATAATATCATAAATGGTAAGACTAGTGCACATTTTAGGTCCCCATGACATCACATTACTCAGTGTTCTATTAAATATAAAATTTTTATATCTGCTAAAAGAAGAAAAAAAAATAATTTAGGAGCACACTAGACTGTCTAGCACTAAAACTATTGGAAATTGACTAAATTGCAACAAAATGTGATGTCATGAGGCATTTAAGTTAAAATCAACTAACTTCAGGTGCGTTTTGTGAGAATGCTCTGAATTTTAAAAAGTGGAATTTCCATAAAAGCTGAAACTAAACTCACGATTTAAGAAACGATTTACACTTTTTTGACAGCAACAGTACAAAGCAGATGTCAAATGTCAAGACATCATAGACAACTGTACAAAATGCACAATCTGTCGGGCACGTAGATTTTACAGATCTGATTTCTGATTGAGAATAGGTCATATTAGATTGTGTTAGTGTTTGCTTCCACGTACCGCAGACAGCATGAGCTCACTGCTGTCTGCACACCACATGGGTGAAGTGGAGTTTTGCCTCTTCACCCAGACAATTCAAAAAAATGCATGGCTCATTTTTATGGTTAATAAACAATGCAAAGCATTTAAAGGCGACATTAAGATAACACTCTAGTTTGCAGATGCAGGTACAAACCATTAACAGAAGCAAAACAAGTAAAATTAACGGTGCAGTGTGGATGCATTTCTTTCTTCTCACATAAAATTATTAACTAAATCAAATCAAAATTTAATGTCAATTTATTTACTTGCCTAAAGTAGTAGCAGTATAATAAGTGTGATAATCTGCTTCGTGTTGGTTCCGACACTTTTGTAACCAACCAGGAAGCATTACTAAAACTAAACGGCATAATTAAAACTGCATATATATATATATGGTCAGACAATTTAAAAAATCTCTTCAAACTAGCCATTATTTGTCCATCATCAGTGTCTCACTTTACCCTTTCACCCTCTGTCTCTATGAAGCTTCAGCTATACAAACATATGACTCATCGGCATTTCATGTTCAGTTGCTAGGATCATATCCGAAAACAATTCTAGTAAATGACAGGAAGAGTCGTCACAAAGAAAGTAGTGACTTCAGACATTTCAGTGAACCACAGTCATGAGACTTGCATTAGGTAATGCAAAACCCATCTGTCCAATCACAGAGAAAAGTCTCTGAAAACCGACAGCTACTGCTGAGAAATAAGAAATCATATACATATATACATAGTTTATACGTGATTATTTTAGAATACTGGGTTATGAAAACAAAATCAAAGTAGAAAACAAAATCTAATGCACTTGGTGTATTGAGTTATAGTCTAATGGAATTGTGTAATTGCCTTACTAACTATTAATTACTAGTAATTAAGAGTTAATGAGGCAAAAGTTGTAGTAAATCATTAGTTGAAATGAGAATTAGTCAATAATCTAAAGTGTGTCCAAATTATCAGATTTTTGTATCATAAATTTCATTGCAGTGACACATGGCATTTTTGTGTACAAATGACTCACCTTTCTTCTGGTATGCAGTCTGAAGACTCTGTGCCATCACAAAACTGCATGCCTGTCTGAGAGGTTTGTCATACGCCCCACACACGCGTGTGTCAGGATACAATACACACGAGAAATACAGAGGGCCTTCATCGCGAATGTCGGACACGTGACACAGCTCTTCTTCTTCACACCCTGGAACCAATCACCAATATTCAAAGAATAGAAAGTGAAACATTGTTGCAATACACAGACATTCACTAACTATATAATTGGAAGCAAATGTTTTGCATTTTACGTTTTAGACACAACAGCTGGGCTTCCTGGAAAGTGAACTGGTGTTTAAAGATCCAGTAAAGCTGACTAGGCAGCTTCCTCTCTGGATCAACTTTTATATCACCACTCTCCAGAACACCAAAAGCCTCCTTTACTGAGTCTAAGTGGACAACACAGTAGAAATGGAAATTAGACATTATTAAATACCAGTCAAATAAATATTATTGATGCAGTTTAAAAAGAAACATATCCATTTTAAGGGTACTTTTAAGCACAAGAAGACAAAAATGCTCAGGTATATGGCTTAATTTCAATCATTCGTACCAGAAAGTACCATTGTTGAATCCTCTACAGTAGCTAATCCACTGCAAGCAGAGGGAGGACGCGTGTTCATATCAGACTCTGAGAACATAAATTATAACCATTAAGCTATACATGAGCACATTTAATCAAAATATATGCTTTTGTTTATGACAGGCATTTAAAATTCTTTATTAGTGTCATGCTCATGCATGCCAAGTAAGAAGTATGTCCAAACCTTTCCAGATGTAGACACGTTGGAAACTGATTAGAGTTTCCTGATAACCAGTTTTATTTTTGCTGGATGCCGGTAAGGCTGCATCAGCTGCAAGAAATGTTCGTTTTCATTATCAATTCATAACATCATACATCTTGATATAGCATACAATCAAGTGTTTGTTTGTATTAGTGAGTTTATGAAATTGTACAGGGTGGGGCAGAATGATGCAATAGAGAGTAAGCGCTGGAAAAGTAAACAATTGATAAAGGTCAAATAACAGCTGAACCATGCTGTGCAATTTTTAAACAACAATTAAACATTTGTAGTTATGAAATCTGGAGTGTGTATGTGGGACTCATACTGATGGTGAAGTTCTGTCCGCCAAAGTTGAGAGTGAAACGTTTCAGTTGTTTGCTGTATTGGACCCCAGCACCACAGATGCGTTTGGAGGAGGCCACATTCCTCACGTCCCAGTCTGTCTCGCTGCACTGCAGCACTGAAGGAGCACTCAGGAGCCCACACATGATAGAGCCTGCAACACAGGACACAACGTAACACACAGATGTGAACCCTCAATCAACTTTTCTGATTCAGAATGTATTTGGATTATTATACTTTGATAACTTCAAATAAAAACTGATGTGATTATTTTTATACATTTAAAAAATCTTTATATATAAAGACATTGTAACATTATACACTACCGTTCAAAAAGTTTGGAGTCAGTAAGAATCATTTTTTGGAAAAAAAATATAGAAAATAACATTTTTATTGACCAAAGATGCATTAAATTGTTTAAAAGTGACAGTAAATATGTTTATAATGTTACAAACGCTTTCTATTTCAAATAAATACTGTTCATTTGAACTTTCTGTTCATCAAATAATCCTGAAAAAAATAGTGTACACAACTGTTTTGAACACTGATAAAAATAATATGTTTCTTGAGCAGCACATCAGCATACTAGAATGATTTCTGAAGGATCATGCGACACTGAAGACTGGAGTACCAATTCAGTTTTGCAATAACCAGAATAAATTGCATTTTAAACATATTCAAATAGTAAATAGCTTTTTAAATTGTAAAAAATAATCCTCAAAACGACTGTTTATGATGTATTTTGATCAAATAAATGCAGCCATGGTAAGCAGAAGATTTTTCTTTAAAATAAAAAAATAAATATTTGACTGATCTAAAAAATGTGAATGGTAGTATATATATAATATAATACAAATATTTTTGAAAGAACATTTTATTTAAAAATACATTTCATAATATTTAAATATTAAAATATTTTGGGTTTTGTCTCCCAGTGATGTGGGTGAAAGAAGCTACATTCTGCTCCTTAAGAGAGAGAGCGTCTCTGACCTCCATTGAGGACATTCTGGTTCAGGATGAATCCATCACAGCAGTTCTCACGGCTGCAGGAGTTGACGCAGAAACGATGGACGTCAGCCAGAGTGGTTCCACGTGCATCAAACACAAGCGTCTGATACACTCCAGAACTGGTCTTACGGAAACTCAGCCTCTCAAAACTCTTCAGGCCTGCTGTGCTGAATTCATGACCTTTTGTCAAAAGATGAAGGGTGGAGAGTAAAAGAGAAAGAAAGAACAGATAGTCTTGAAGTTGTGTCCAAGAAACACAAGTACATCTAAATGCCTGTGGGTTGCCAAAAATAATCAGAAAATGGGAGCTCCACTCCGTTCGAAGTCTCAAAGTATCAAGTCGTTTATTTCACATGGTACAATATTTATCTGTTAACAGAACAAGCCTGAGGAATGTTTTTAATGACAATTCTCTTTATTCTTGAGTCCATTGTGTTCAAATCGTGCCTTAAACCAAAATCTTTGTCTCATAGGATAGTTAATTCTCCATTTAGACAAACTCAAACTCTCCCCACATTCGATGCATCACCACATTTTACTGCAGTGTGTAACCAAAACATGGGCCGGGACAGGTGACTCACGTCACAACAACTAACCTAACTGAGAACATAGGGATATAACCAATAGCTGATGATCTTACCTTTCTTCCTCAACACCGTCAGATTGGGTTCATCTCCTTTTATTTTCAAAACACAGTTGAGAGCCTGGAACGTCTCAGCACCATCATTTCCCAGAAACCCTTTGCTCTGAAATGCCAAACAAACCGCAAGACTTTTTTTCTTTCATTTTTTGTAATAAACATGTCACTTTCAGGAAAGAAGATATGAGTGCCACCAAGGCAAAAAAGACCCAATGCCAGATATAACACTAAATAGGTTTGTCTTCTCAAAAGAAGGTTTATATTTATTAGCTTTTGTAAAAACAAATGAAGATTTATGTCAAAGAGGTTGTTAAATCCGGTAACCTAACACATGAACTGACAAATTAATGCTGAAATTATAAAGTTAGAAACTATAAAAAGTGAAGATTATGTAGAAAGCATTTAACCATTAAAAATACCATTCAATCTTTTGGTAAAACCTTTTTCAAAAGCATAATTTCTGTAATCCAAACGTTCTAATTTAAGATAAATATGCAACAAATACACCGCATGCAATATACAATTCACATGGGGTAAAGTGTGAATGTATTTTGGTCCTACTTGTTCAGAGGTCCTGCATTCAACATTATCTGTACTGGTGCTGTAGAGCTCACAGTGTGCTTTCTCTCCATCACTGAAAATAGCCACATGTTGGCATGAATCTTCCATGGCACAATCTATAAGAAATCAGAGATGGGATCAGCTCTAGTGATGAAGAGTGTGAGTAAACATCTGACTAATTCATTACAGGTGCAGAGCAGCAATATCCAACAACGTATCTCACCAAGCACACACTTCCTGAGATGTGTTTCCTTTGGCTGGGTTGAGGAATCAGAGCTCAGTATGTCAGCACTCTCTGATTTCAGCAGCAGGGAGGAAGGAGCAACCACATCAAACTTTTCCATTACTGCAAACACACAAAGAGGGCTCTGAACATACACAAATACATTCATATATTGATTGTGCTTTCATACCGATAAAGATTGAATGATCTACTTAAGCACTGTTAAAGAAATAATGAAGCCAGTCTTGTGAAAAGCAAATTTTTTAAAAATTATTTTATATTATTTAAATTAAATTATGAAAAATTAAACAAATGCATGGATGAATCATTCACAATGTGATCAATAACATGCATTTAGATTAGAAAATAAAAAAAATTGTGCATTTTAATTCTTTATAATTTGGCTACACTACTGTCACACTGTATAAAAAAGTTACGGCATTACTATTTTTAGTGATTCCTACTCCTTAATGCTGATTGTAGCACATACCTTTGCACTCTTCAACTGTCATTGGACCATCAGAAGACGTCCAAGACAGTTCCTTTCCCTGTAAGGAGACACACAACCATTTGCCAGACACGGGGTGCTTCTGGGCTGACAGAAAATCCCCTTTATTTGTACAACTCAGTTTAGTCTGCTGGCACTCAGTAAGACCTTGAGAGTATTCAGATAGAGAAAGAACAAATAAACAAATTTAAACCATGAAAAATCACAAGTAAAAAAAAAACAAATGTTTCTATTTGGTAACTCTTCTGCCTCTGAAACCTATGATCTACATTTCAACAGAGCTGTCATGTATAACTGTAACCATCTACTCCTGCTCTTCTTGAATTTGTGTGACAGTTGGCACTTGGGCTGATTTGCTTTGACCTTTACTCACAATGAGAAGCATTGAAGGCTCCCTGGGCCACAGTGGATGTTCGAGAAGGGCAGGGAGAGCAGAAGACCTGCCCTTCTTCCTCTTGAAATGTATCACGTGGACATGGAGTACACACACCACCACTGGAAAATGAACCAGCTGGACACAACACTGTGCGTGAGAGAGGATAAAAAACAAACACACAATAAGCGATTGCGAATGAGTAAGGATGGTGCAGAGTACAAAAAGAAGAGAAAGTTTGACGTGCAGTTTTGAAGAAGTAGTTACAAAATATTACATAAACCTTCATGTTTTTGCACACCACATTTCTATTTCATACATGCCCGTAAGCTAAAAATGTGCATGAGTTATTGAACTTCATAGATGCGTATTCAGAAACACAAGTAAAGCCATTTTCTTTTATGGTATACAGGCCGGTCTGTCATTAAGAAGACCAAATGGACCAGAAGCCAACCTACCACACCCAGTGGATTGTGGGAGCCGCTTATAGCCAGGCATGCAGCTAAATGAGGGAGGACTAGAGAAAGCCAGAGAACCGTCAGAGAGGAAGATGGACAGGTATGACCCACTTCGGATTAATGCCTTCACACCGTTTGAAAGTCTCTCTTCACTAAGTGCTATATCTGGGGAAAAATAAACATGCAATATTTAGAAAGAAAAGTACATGGAATAATAAAACACATCAATGATTCAGAATATTGTGAGTGTGAAATGAAACATTTGGCATTAGATATTGGAAAGGCTGCTCTCACCAATATCATGAAGATCAGGGAGAGATGTTATTGGCAGGTCAGAGAGGCGGGCCCTAAAGGTGATGCGCATGGTGACCTCCTTATCAGTCAAACACTCAAGAGACACAGATGACTCGTCACAGACTGCAACAGAGCTGGTCTGGCCGGATGAAGTCAGCTAAGACACATTAACAAACTGTTAAATTGTAGTTTTAGAGATCTGCACAATTTGTTGATGTTGTACTGTAGGCCAAAGATATTTTAAATATTGAATATGACATTAGCAGTAAATCTAATTTTGTATGGCAAGTAAAAAATGACTTGTCCATCTAAACTAGTATAAGTGGAGAAATTACTGTTTGGGAATCCTCTATAAAGTCCCTAAAGGAAATGGTGATGATAAAAATATGAGATGTGAGGATTTTGGTTAATTTACACACACAAAAAGTTGTCCACTCAAGAAAGCTTGCTTTCACTCCAAAAGTTTTGTGTTCCCACAAAAGTTTGCATTTACTAGCAAAGAATACAAAGGTTTGGTGACAAACACAGAACTTTCTCAGGGGAGAGCAAAACTTCTGCAAGCCAATTCTCATTTTATTTTCTATGACCATGTTAAGGGCTCCGTAAGCCAGGGGTCTATGGAAATTGATTTATTCTATGGATATATATATAATATATATATATATATATATATATATATATTTATTTAATATATTAGATTTATTTTGTATTTGAAAATACAACCATTTTGCCATGTTTACAAATAATAATGACAATATTCTATTGACAGCCATAGTTTTAACTAGAAGTTTAATGGTTAAAGGTTTAATATTTTAATATTACACACATTAATAGTGGGTAGATAAAATCATACACTGCAAACTTAACACAATATAAATATTTTCCAATGTTTTTTTAATAATTTGCTTTGGCTTTAGGAGAATGACAAAATAAAATCCAGATATTTGATTTTAAAACATGTTGTGGTAACAGTTTTACAGTGTCCTTGTTACATATACCTACTGTAGTAATAACAGTAAATTATGCACAATTACACAGTGTACTAACCCTAAACCAAACTCTAGCCCTAATTGTACAGTGAGTACATGTCGTTAAGTAATATTACTCAGCACTTAAATGTATAGTTAGACTATAACAAGGACACCTTAAAATAAAGTATAACCCATGTTGTCTTTATTGTATTATGCTTATTTATATATATATATATATATATATGAAATATCTCAAATCAGACTGTGTGAATTGTACCTGTAAGCTGCAGAGGCCTGTAGCTCTCATGTCTCGCAGCAAAGCAGCCTGTAGCTCAACACTCAACACGCTGCAACTGTTTTGGCCCTCGGCCAGGAACATCTGTAGCTCTAAGGACACCTGCACTGTCTGCAACACCCGAGGCTCTGATTGACATCATAACCACATAAATCCTCAGTAATTAGCGCAACAAGACTTCACAGAAAGGCAAATCCCAAAAGGAAATATTGCAACAACCTGTGAGCATTTTAACAGGTAAATAGAACAATGTGTGTGTGGCCTTTACTTTGGCAGGCGTAAGAAAGTGGAGCATCATCAAGCCAGTTTGTCGCCTTGGGATCACACAGGAAGCTGGTGACAGGAAGGGTGTTGACATAACCTTGGTCACAGAACAACTCACAGCGTTGCATCTGCTGGCCCGCAACATTTGTAGTGCTACACAGAATGGCACCATGGGAAATGTCTCTGTATGGAAGGGCGCACTCAGGAACTGAAAATGGAAAAAAAATAAGGGAAATTATTGTTGCCACAGGTATATGCCAAAACTAAAAATAAATTACATTTTAAAATATATTCAAATATAAATTTTGTAATAATATTTCACAATATTACTGTTTTTTTGGTTAAATAAATGCAGTCTTGGTGCGCATAAAAAACTTCTTACAAAATAAAAATGATGATTTCCAAGCTTTTGACAGGTACTGTATCCATGGACATTATATTTCTATTTATTTATCTTAATTTGCGAGCTTTAATCAAAATAACAGTGACATCCCTTCTTTTCTTTCATGACGTTTTCCGGTAAGAGGGCAAGGCAACCTGTCACTCACATGAAATCACAGCAATAACAAAATAAAACTATTCCGACAGACAAAATAAAGTACCACCCAACATTTTTTTTTTTCGTTTGAGAAGTCTTTTCTTGTTTGCGCATACATTTAACAATAGTCAAGTCAAGTCAAGTCAAGTCACATTTATTTATATAGCGCTTTTCACAATACAGATTGTATCAAAGCAGCTTCACAGTGATAACATGTAAGTAGCACAACACAGATCAACAACATTGCTAAACACTAAATAAATAACCCCAACTGAGCAAGCTCAAAGCAAGCCAAAAGCAAGGCGACAGTGGCAAGGAACCAAACTCCATCAGATTGGATGGAGAAAAAACCTTGGGAGAACCCAGGCTCAGTCGGGGGCCAGTTCTCCTCTGGCTTACATTCATATTGTTTAAATATAAATATTAAATATAAATATTGTTTATGAATCAAACGGCGCCATAACATATCGCAGGCGTTGAGTCGTCTCATCACAGGCGTTGAGTCGTCTCATCACAGGCGTTGGGGCATCCGAAATCCCCGTGAGAAATAGGGAAGAAAAGACTATCGCAACCTCCATATCATGCCGACTATAAAGAAATGCAAAGTGTAACCTAATTCACTTACTGTCACAGGCTGGGGTTCGTCCTGTGCTGCGAGAGGTTCGCGTTTTTGGCAGCTCTTTTCCGCTTTGAGAAACACACCAACAGTCGAACAGATCACACTGCAGGGGTAAGAACCGCTGACCGTCCTGTACACATTCAGGCTCATACCCCACACCAACCTCTCTTTGCAATGCCACAGTCTTCTGTAGAGAACACCAACCTGGACCTACAACACACAAAATAATATAAAGGTCTGACGTGGTTCATTTCTCAACACCTTGCTACAAGACACGGTACTTAATATTGCTGCTGTGGTCATATGTGTGATTACATTGCAGTTCTCCAGAGGGATCGGCTATGGCAGGTTGGATGACTTGTCCGTTTATTGGACTCACGCACAACCCCTGTGAATGGCCTGAACTGGTCTTCTGGAGTACTGAAAACTCCCCATCCTACAGATATGTGCACACAAACAATGAAACAGATACACATGAATTGCGAATCTTCAGTAACTACCTAAATAGTACAACCTAAATAACCACAAAAGAAGGCCTTACCTCCTCACATGAAGGGTTATATGTGAAGGTGATATTAGAGCTTGTTTGCATCCAATTAGAAAGCAGGGAATGACTTTGGAGCCTTTGACATGTAGTTTGACCTGGGGGACAAATTATTACAAAAAAGCTTACAAAGATAAACCCTAGAAGTAAAACTAGCAGTTCCCCTAACAACCTTGATTATTATTGAAAAGATTTGAGTAAAACATGAGATTTGACTCTTACACTGCTGAGGGGCCGCAGAACGAGACATCAGAGAGTCTGCGATGTATCTGCCCTCCTCATCAACACACCAACAGAGAGCTATGGCATCAGACAGAGCAAAAACATGAAAATTATCCAATATTGCAATGTTTTCCTTTGGCAGAATACACTACTGTTCAAAAGTTTGGCTCCAGTAAGAATTTTTTTAAGAAATTCATATTTTTATTCAGCAAGGATGCAAAAAAAATATCAAAAGTGACAGTAAAGACTTCTACATTGTAACAAAAAAATCTATTTCAAAACTTTCTAGTCAAAGACTCAGCACCAAATCAGCCCATTAGAATGATTTCTGAATGATCACGAGACACTGAAGACTGGAATAATGAGGGAATAAATTACACTTATTTTACTGTTTTTACTGTATTTTTGATCAAATAAATTCAGCCTTGGGGAGCATAATAGACTTGCAAAAATATTCAAACATCTTACCTACCCAAAACTTTTAAACAGTAGTGTGTGTGGCAGGATGTTTATGTGAAGTACCGTAGTATGGTCTCACCTGTGCTTTGGTGGCACTGATTGGGCAGCCACTGGCCATAAGCATCACACTGTGGGATGTAGGGCTGGTACCCCAACATTAAACTCTGTCTGTCTTTGTCACTGGCCATCATTCTGCTCTGCCAATAGAAATGTAGGGCTGTCGAGAAGCGAAAGCATATTTAATATTAGTGTGGGTAGAGCTTTACAGCAAATAACCAGAGAAATGAAGTGTGGAATGTTTAAATCAGACTTGTTGAATGACAAATTAACCTTATAAAATTCATACACTACACAGTTGAGTACATAGTGCATAAGTATAATGTATAAGTGTATAGTGAATAATTTGGGACACTTCATTTCCAGGGTTTTCTCAGACTTCTAGTACTTTCTTCTGCAGCATCGTTTAACTTTTATTTTGAAACAGATGAAACAAAAGACTGTACTGGAATGAGCTGCGAGTCTCAATGGTGAGTTGATGTTGCTCAGCAGAGTTTGAGTGATGGGGATGTTTGAGGAGCGTGTCAGCTCCAACTCCACAGGGCTCAGATAGACACTCTCAGCCAGGAGGAAACCATAACCCACAGGCACATGTGTGTTGTTTGAAGCAAAGATTAGTTCCTCAGCCTGCTTCAGGAACTCAGAAACCTGGCTTTGAACCACAGAGCAAGGACCTGGACCTGAAGAGACACACATGTTAGATATTATGAAGATGATTTCAATAGATTATAAAGCAATATTTGGGCAGATAGTAATGTCACTACATATAATAATTAGTATTGTGTATAACTCACATTTGGGAATTTGTCCAACAGGAGCCTTGCTATTTGCTAGCATGTCCCCTTGAGGGTTAACACACCAGCATTGACGCATATGAAAAGTCCCGAGAGGAACACTGAAGTCCGATAGCGGACCTGGATAAGCAGAATCTTCTCTTCTGATCAGTTTCCAGAAGGATAATGGGTTCAGGAAAACTGATGGTCCATGATTGGCCTCAACGCTCCCTTCTAACAAGTCAGATGGAACATCAGAGAACTTCTCAAATCTCGCCAGGACAGGGAATACTCTGTGGTGCCCAGCCTTGAACAATTCAGATACAAAGGCTCGGAATGACGCCATTGCTTCTGTGTTTCTTGCATAGGCTCGCAGAATTTCAAGAAGTCCTGAGACGGGCAGGTCTTGTCCGGAATTTATGATCCGAACCCACTCACGGTAGAACTCATTCGCTTGTTCTGGAGGTCCATCGCACTGGATCTGGTTCCAGCTGCCATCATATGCACAACGAGGTATGTACACTTCAGAAAGCTGCGTTACAGAAGATGGATCTGTGAGAACAGAGTGGATCGTGGACAGGAATTTGTGGGTAGCTGTGGCCTGGCAGTTTGTTGGACCTTTGGAAGAAGATCAAGAGAGGATAATATCAAATCACAATATATTTTAAATAATAAAACATAATATTAAAATGTTAACTCAAGTTGTTAATTTCAGATTTGTATAATCAGTGTTAATATGATGCCTTTTCTGTATAGTAAAGGGCTATTGTTGTCAATAAACTGCATGGCATTATGGTGCATTTCTGGTTTCTATAGTCATTATGTAGTTCATGTACTGTAAATCTGAGAAATTAAGTTGCAATTCTGAGAAATAAAGGTTCAATTATGAGATAAAAGCAGGAATTGTGAGTTTAAATCACAATCGCAAGATATTGACTTATATTTATGCATTTGGCAAATGGTTTACTCTACATTCTAAAGTATAAAGTCACAATTATGGAAACTAACTCTCAATTTCTACATAGTGCCACAATTAACTAGACAGACATTCGCTTTTATAAACTTTCAGAGAAAACATGCAAAAAAAAAATGTACAACAGCTTGTTATTGGGACAGTACCCTTCAAGAGACAACATTGTACCAACAACAACATTATCCCTAAAGGGATCCTAGTAGTACTATAAGTTACAAATTTGCACCTTTTAGGGGTAGATAAAGTACAAAAGTTCCCCAGTGACAAGCTGTTGTACCAGTGTAAAACCTTGAGAAGAAGCTAAACCTTGAGAAGAAGCCTTGCAAAATTGAAAGCACCTAAGCTCCATAAAACAAGATGTCTCTATAATGCATAAACTTTGGCTGGTTGTCTATTACATATGAGATAATTATGCCAGATAATTGAATGTGTGTTTAATTAAATGTATGAACATAGCTCTGTAATTAATCATCTGTGTTTAGTGTTCAGACTCACATTGAAGAGAGCTTCCTGAACTCTGAACGCCGAGTTTTGTTCCAGATCGGTCCACGCAGAAACAACTTTTGCCAAGGCACTGTCTTGCTACGTAAGCACCATCAGTCTCGCATTTAGGAATGAAGACCTCAGATCCTGCGGAACTACTGGCTTTGACTGCAATAGCCATCTTACGTTCTTTCTCACACTGGGATAAGCATCTCGGTCTTGACTCAGTAGTGCGAGAACCTGTTATCTCCAGACCACGAGAGTCCACACACCAACACTCTCTGCCCTGACATTGAACTTCTTGGAATAGTCCATTCTCAGTGCACTGGGGTATGTATGAAGTCAAGGTGGAAGTCACCGAATTACAAACATCTGATTTCTGGATAATTGCATGAAACAGTTGACCCAACTGGGTGCTTTCATTTGCCTTCAGCTGTTTGATGGCCTCTCGAAGGGTAGTGAGAAAGTGCTCATTCTCAAGAGCCATTGAAACAAGTTTAATCATATCTCGGTTGATTTTCAGGTTTACGGAACGACCAAACGCATCAAAAATCTCCTGGTCTATATTAAGACCGGCAGAGTCATCTGCAAAGGTCTTGGCCAACTGCATCAAGCCGGTCCCAGCCTGCATCAGACCAACTTGACTAAAAACTTGACTGAAATTCAATGTACCACTGTTTCCAACGATGCCAGTGAAGTTGAAATTGCCAGCATTCTTCAGGAATTTTCCTCCAAATAGATTCTCCTGGAGTCTCTTGGGATTCGGGGCGAGAGCAAGAGCTTTTAGGGCAAGAGCCCCAGAGGGAAACATCCCTTGAATGAGCTCTGCCAGGATGTCTCTGACATTTGGACGCTCCAAATCTGGCAACGACTGCAGAAGACCGGAGTTGGCCAAAAGCTCCTGGAATTCAGGACTGCAAGTACCAAGAAAAGAGAAGGTGTCTTTGGAAGCAGAGAACACGTTGTTCTTGCTGAAGTCTCCAGCTGGGCCATAAAAAAGCCTGGAGAGTGCTTGTCTCCTCTCAGACAGGCAGTCTTTCACTCCAGTGCCTAAACAAACAAGAAACACAACATTAGTCAGTGCACAAACTCCATTCTACTTAAAAATTAAGCAACCGCTAAACTCTCAGAACTCAAAGATTCATTTTTAAAACTAAACAGGTAAAATCATTTAAATAAGCTTAAAGATCAGAATTTCTACTGCTAGATTGGATTCATTCGAGTAGTTCACAATGTGTTTACTACCGTATTTGACTACCGTACCTACTCATTAATGTTATTGATTGATAAAATCAAGATTTACTGTTACTAGAGATGCTGAAGAGGCATCATGGCAGATAAGTATGGAATATACCATGAAATACAAACAAATGCAACTAAGGCCAAACTCACTACATTTTGGTAGTCCATACTGGCGTGTGCCAAAGATCTCTTTGCCATCAGCATCCACACACCAGCACTGGCCACCGGACTGACACTGGGTTGGCACATACACTCCATTATCAGTACAGGAGGGTACAAAGGAATTACCAGCCTGAGTAGCAGCGGCCCGTTCACTCTCACACGGGGTGGGACCTTATGAATACAAAAAGAGTTGGGTACCGTTGGATTGAGCACCTGTACTATTAAACAGATGTATCAAGTGTTAGAAATGCTAAGAGGTACATTGTATTCCTGCAATACCTGTGTAGTATTATTTTATTGTTTTTCATAGTCTGCTTGCATGTACATGAAACTAATGTTTTTTTTAGTCACCACAAAACAAAATTGTTTATTTTATCACAAGAAAAGTAGATACATTTTTTGCAAATTATTCTTGTTTAAAGTTTACAGTATTTCTTTCTCAAATTATATGCTTACATGTACATGAAACTAATATTTATTAGTCACTGCAAAAAGCATTTAAATGTATTTTATAATGGCAAAACCATTTGTTCTTGTTTAAAGTATAACATGACAAAATGTCATTACTTTTATGTTTAAATCAAGGAAATACTATTTGCAAATGAAGAAAAACAACTTAAACCTAATTTAAAAAAATCTTAAATTGACATGAGAAGAAAAAAATTCTTATCTTTAATTATATTTAGATATTTTTACTGGAAAACAATTGCAAAAATGACCATGTATGACCATCATTATAGTTCATTAGTTTTCGTTTTCAACAAAATGTTGCATACATCTAAATTTCCCGCTGAGGGCCAGCTGGACAGCAAGGTAGCGGCGCTGTAGGATTCGATACATGTTTGACTGTGCAAATGCACTTCCTGCAGTCTGGTCTGAAAACGCTGTGTCGTACACCTCATCCAAAAGCAGCTCCACACCTAGACAAACCAAAATCAAAACAATTCATCTTTATGATACAGCACATAAAATGTCCCAACTTGATCAGGCCAAAATAATCCTTGAATGACAACACAAATCATAGCACCACTTGACATTTAGGTGATGCTTTAATACAATTTGATTTATGGTTCACTTATTTCAGGGACAGTTGCCCAGGAGCAAACAGAGTAACTGCTTTGCAAGAGCACAATTGTGACAGTTTATGGATCACTCCTAGCTGGGTTTGGACTTTTGGCCCAATTTTGTAACCTGAAATGTAACAGAAGAGGTGTGCATCACCTGTGCTTGGCATCTCTCTTCCACGACTGTCTGCACAGAAACAATAACTAGATAGCTCTGGGTAGGCCTTTCTGAAAACACTAAAGGTCTGGAACACTTCTGGGTTTCTGTTGATGAAAAGAAACTTCAGTTAAGTAAGTCATTTTAAACTAAAGAAAACAGAAAAATTATGAAAAGAGAAAACAGAGAAAGGAAGCATTTATAACTGTTTTCCTGACACAATACTGCTGTCTAGTGGTAAAACATGCAGGCTGGTTTCCCAGATACAAGTGTCGAGCACTTCACTAAAAGAGCTTTCAGAAGGGAATCTTTATTCAATATTTATACAATTTAAATACAATTTGGGGTCAATAAGATTTTTATTTATAATTTTAAAGAAATAAACATTTATTCAGCAAGGATGCAATAACTTGATTTAAAAAAAATATATATTTATATGCTGTTTGAACATTATATACAGCAAAGAATCCAAACATTTATGGTACAAGAAAAATGTTGAGCACCAAATCAGCATATTAGAATGATTTCTAAAGGATCATGTGACACTTGTGACTCGAGTAATTCAGCTTTGCCGTCACATGAATAAATTACATTTCAAAATATATTAAAACTGAAAACACATCTAAATTGTAATAATATTTCACAAAATTACTGTTTTACTGTATGTTTGATTACAGTTGGTGAGCTTACAAGACTTCTTTCAATTTAAAAAAAAATCGTATCGACCCCAAACTTTTAACGCGGTAGAGAAAGGTTTGAAGAAAAGGCATGTCTCACCTGTTGAATGTGTGTAACAGATCAAAGATCATCCTGTCAGAGGTGTTGACAAACTTGCACTGGACAGGTAAGAAGCTCCCATCATCTGAGCATTGAGGGGGAGAGGGTTCTCCGAAACCATGAAGGAGTCGCCGCTGTCTCACCTCACAAACACCAGGACCTAGGGTCAAGGGTTTAGAATCATTTAGCATCTGATCACTAATAGGCAACACATTTAAGCATCAACCAGCAATTTAATAGTCAGGAATAAAATAGCTATGTAAACACATAAGCAGATAAAACTCTTGATCTTTTATAGAGACTCAACTAAACTGTTCAATTAATGCATCTGGGAATCAAATGAATGCGACACTGAATAAGTGAACTCACACTTTGAGAGTTTTCCATTTTGCCTGGTTCCGTAGATCTCCATGCCTTCTTGGTCCACGCACCAGCACTGGCCACGGGACGCATCACACTGCACCTGCTCGTACTCACCTGAGTCCAAACACACTGGCACCAGGGTTGCGTCTCCAGTCTGCAGTGCCTGTTGTCTCTGGAGCTGGCATGAGGTCAAACCTATAGTGAGGACAGAGTGTGGTCCATTCAATGAAACTAAAATTCAATGGACACATATAACATATGATTATACTAAATCCTTATGTAAACGTTCTCTTAAGTTAATCATACTTAATATTAACAGCACATCTCTGTTGTTGATGTATGACCTTAAGTGGTTGCTCAAGGATTATGTTCCCAGAGACACCAAGCAAACACATAGTTTAAAAGTTTAGGGTCAGAAGGATTATTTAAATGTTTTTGAAGTCTCTTATGCTGACCAAGGCTGCATTACTTTGATCAAAAATTCAGTAAAAACAGTAATATTGTGAAAAATTTATTTCCTATTGTAATATATTTTTTTAAATGTCATATATTCCTGTGATTCCAAAGCTGAATGTTTAACATCATTACTCCTGTCTTCAGTGTAACACATGCTGATTTGGTGCTCAAGAAACATTTCTTATCATAAATATTGAGAAGTGCTGCTTAATAATTTTGTGTAATAAAGTTCTTACTGCCACCAAACTTTTGAACGCAAGTGTAAAGAGAAATGTGAGAGGCATTCAAAATAATAATATATTTAATATAGAAAAATAAAGAAATTAAAATAAACAACTGACATTTATTCATGTCTTACGTCAAGGTTTTCAACAACCCCAAATGCAAGTAAAGCCACTTTATTTTTAAAGTGAGGACAGGCTGTCAAGAAGTATGAAGGGCTTACAATGAACAGCGGATCCATTTTGTCGACTCCCAGGTATCTCAAGACCCTCTGCATTCACACACCAACATTCACCACCTCCGCGATTACACTGAACATGCCTATGAGAAAGGACTTTTTTCAGAATTTCACAAACAACATGGTAATAGCATTGTACATTTATACAGCATCAGTCCAGTTAGTGCACCTGAAGCGGCCATCCTCAGAGCACTGGGGGATGTGCTCATGTTCCTGAGCTGCACTGACAAACCTCAGCTGCTCACATTGACTCAGACTCTCTGTCTCCAGCTGGTACTCTAAAGGTAAAACAATAAATAATAATAGGTGGATGAATCTCGTAGTCCATAAAAATACAGCTTCCAGACAGTAAACATAAAGGTGATGTTGTGATTAGACCAAAGACGCTCACCTGAAATCTTTCCACATGTCAGAGAGAAGGTGCCAAGCAGTGTGGCAGTTAGACAAAAGAGCGCCATCTCTTCCATGTTCTGCATCTTCTCTGGGATGCAAGAACTCTCCTAGTGAATGCTACGAAACTGCAGCATCTTTTATACCACAACCAAGATGTGCACTGTCATACCCGTTCAGCATTCTGTTGTTTTACAAAATTGTCTATTAAAACACTAACCTCTCCAAACTGGTTGAAGTGCCTGGTGGTGAATAAGAACACTCTGGGCATTGTAAAGTGAGCAGCCAAGCTTGAAGTTTTGAGAGTGCTTCTTTGAGGAGAAACAGCTTCATCAGTCTTCTGAAAACCACTTCCAACTGAGTTAAAAAAAGAGCTGTGGATTGTTACTTCTCTTATGTTGTTGCCCTCATATTTAAACAAAAAAGAAAATACTAAGTGGAAGCAAAGCAAATGACAAATCATTTAACTAAAAAAAAAACTCATGATACATATGGTAAATTTATCTTGAATCAAGATAGACAAAAACTTTTGAGAATATTTTTTTAATGAAGTTGTACATACAGATAATTACATCAGGTCTTTAAATAAACTCTTTAAATGTACAGCTGGTATTTTCATCAAAAGAAACTTCAAGTTTTAAATCTAAGTTCTAAAACACTCTTTGTACAGATTAATATAAATTGAGATTAAACCGGCATTTTAAAGTATCGTCCTTTTGTGCCTTCGTTTTTTGTTGTTTTTCTTTACAGTTATAAAAACTGTATTTTATATTTTTCCAAAAAAAAAAAAAAAAGAAGAACTAAATGGATTGAATTATATGCATTTACATCCATCTCAGGATTAGCTTACTTCACGGTAGATACTCTCAAAGTATCAACATGATAATGGGTCTTAGTAAGAAAAGTCACCCATCTCTGGACATCCACGTATAGATTAGCTTGTTTTTTGTGAATCACTACAGCATCCATTCAGACTGCAGAAAAACATGCTAAAGTATCAGATGAGTTATTGTAAGAAAACTATCTAGGTGTTGCTTTAATGAATTTGTTGGCATTGTGAACATTTAGTGCCAGTGTATAAGACCGCTAAACCCAATCCTGGCCTAAAATGCAACATTCATTTCAAGAACATGAAAATTCTGAACTGTGCGTATCTGAGCAACCAGATCACAGTGGTCTGTTTTCTTGGCACTTCAAAGTGACTTTTTAAGTGGCGAAAACTTAAACTTTTTTTTAATCAAACGCTAATGAACTCTTAAACAGTCTGCTATCAGTGACCCACTTGAGTCAAGTTCCTATTTCCTTAAGAAATCTCACCTCACAGAGTGGAAATAGAGTTGAAATTTACTTTTGGGGTCTAACTGATGCAAAAAAGGCTAAAACTTTAATCTGTGTGTGGTGTTGTGACCTCTTCTGTTTCTGTGACCTCTTTTGTTTGTTTTTTGGATAATATTCCCTTCTGTTAACATGTGAAAGAATAATTCTGCTATAGTGATCTCTTCCTATTTTGGAGAACAACATCTTTAAGCAGATATGTGGTTTTGACTCAGCACAAACACACTGACATGTTCCTGTTTCACACATTAAGTGTGAATTTTCCTTATCTTACACTTGAAGATGGCCAACAAATTTATTTCTCAGAGAGGGCATCTACTGAACAGTGTCGAATACACCTTCTCCAGTAGTAGAGTTGTGTGTGAAGAAACGTTATGTTGTTAGAAGCTCAAAACACACACTATAAATGTGTGTATCACACAGAGCAGAGGGTGCTCATTTGCTGCACTTTTCCCAGGTCTGTCAGAAGCTGTTTGATGCGACACTTTAGCTGTGGGAGTCTGGCCAGGGGATCGGGGGGCTCCAATTCACCCGTGAAGTCCAACCAACTCTCCAGCACTTCACAAAGACAGGGAGAAAGATAATGAAACCAAATATCAGAAATATATTAACAAAATATCAAATATATTATATTAACAAAATATCAAAACAACTCTTTTGAAAATGAATGTTTCAGATTAGATTTTGTAAATGACGTTTAAAAACTTTAATGTATTAAATTTCCTTAGTCTTTCATTATTGTGAGCAGGTGGGCCAGGCATGAAATATCAGGTGCAGTTTTTTGTACAACTAAAAATAAAATACAAACCCAATTCCATAAAAGTTGGGACACTGTACAAATTGTGAATAAAAACAGAATGCAATGATGTTGAAGTTTCAAATTTCAATATTATATTTACAATACAACATAGATGACATATCAAATGTTTAAACTGAGAAAATGCATAATTTTAAGGGAAAAATAAGTTGATTTTAAATTTCATGGCATCAACACATCTCAAAAAAGTTGGGACAAGGCCATTTTTACCACTGTGTGGCATCCCCTCTTCTTTTAATAACAGTCTGCAAACGTCTGGGGACTGAGGAGACAAGTTGCTCAAGTTTAGGAATAGGAATGTTGTCCCATTCTTGTCTAATAAAGGCTTCTAGCTGCTCAACTGTCTTAGGTCTTCTTTGTTGCATCTTCCTCTTTATGATGCGCCAAATGTTTTCTATGGGTGAAAGATCTGGACTGCAGGCTGGCCATTTCAGTACCCGGATCCTTCTTCTACGCAGCCATGATGTTGTAATTGATGCAGTATGTGGTTTGGCATTGTCTTGTTGGAAAATACAAGGTCTTCCCTGAAAGAGACGATGTCTGGATGGGAGCATATGTTGTTCTAGAACTTGGATATACCTTTCAGCATTGATGGTGCCTTTCCAGATGTGTAAGCTGCCCATGCCCATGCCACACGCACTCATGCAACCCCATACCATCAGAGATGCAGGCTTCTGAACTGAGCGCTGATAACAACTTGGGTTGTCCTTGTCCTCTTTAGTCCGGATGACATGGCGTCCCAGTTTTCCAAAAAGAACTTCAAATTTTGATTCGTCTGACCACAGAACAGTTTTCCACTTTGCTAGAGTCCACTTTAAATGAGCCTTGGCCCAGAGAAAACACCTGCGCTTCTGGTTCCCGTTTAGATATGGCTTCTTTTTTGACCTATAGAGCTTTAGCCGGCAACGGTGAATGGCACGGTGGATTGTGTTCACTGACAATCTTTTCTGGAAGTATTCTTTAGCCCATGTTTCCATTACAGTAGCATTCCTGTGTGTGATGCAGTGCCGTCTAAGGGCCCGAAGATCACGGGCATTCAGTATGGTTTTCCAGCCTTGACCCTTATGCACAGAGATTGTTCCAGATTCTCTGAATCTTTGGATGATATTATGCACTGTTGATGATGATAACTTCAAACTCTTTGCAATTTTTCTCTGAGAAACTCCTTTCTGAAATTGCTCCACTATTTTTTGCCTCAGCATTGGGGGAATTGGTGATCCTCTGCCCATCTTGACTTCTGAGAGACACTGCCACTCTGAGAGGCTCTTTTTATACCCAATCATGTTGCCAATTGACCTAATAAGTTGCAAATTGGTCCTCCAGCTGTTCCTTATATGTACATTTATCTTTTCTGGCCTCTTATTGCTACCTGTCCCAACTTTTTTGGAATGTGTAGCTCTCATGAAATCCAAAAGGAGCCAATATTTGGCATGGCAATTCAAAATGTCTCACTTTCAACATTTGATATGTCATCTATGTTGTATTCTAAATATAATATTGAAATTTGAAACTTCCACATCATTGCATTCTGTTTTTATTCACAATTTGTACAGTGTCCCAACTTTTATGGAATTGGGTTTGTAAATAAAAAAACACCCCAAAACAAAGGAAATAAAAATTCTGTGCTAACTTTCAACTTTAAATAAGGCTAAAATTAACTATGGGTGGGTTTTCAAATGATTACAGAAACTGTTATTCATGTTGAAAGTGGCAAAAATTATGAACTGGTCAAACTCTAGTGCTCGGTGCAGTTAAAAGGGTCATATGATGCTTTGTATGTTTTCTTTTGCTTTTAGTGTGTAATGTATCTATTTGTGCTTGTATATGATCTGGTAAAAAGTTACAATGCTTAGTCTCCTAACTTTTTTCATGTCGCATGTCTGTGTTAGAAAACCACTTTGTTTGGCCTTTTGAAAATGGATTAAAAATTAGGAATCAGAGGTTACTATTTATAAACCTGATCCTGAGCAGAAGGTTACAACCCAAAAGTTTTTTTGTGCATAGAAGGTTTTCTCTGTAAAAATTTTAAAGAGAAGTGTACTGTGCGAGTACAATGCCAGCCATATACAAAGACTACTGACCAGTATGAGACAAGTCACACTAAAGATGGATGCAAAGAAGAGAACACAGCAGAACAAATACTGCACCAGGCACAGCAAGCTCACTCTTCACAACTCTCGAAATATAGACCATTTCACAAGATGTAAACAACACTGGTCCAGAAGCACTTCCTGTTTCAGTTTTTTAACACTACATAAAAGCTGGGATAAAATACAACCAACAGAACATTTAAAACTGAATCAAAAAGTTAAACAAACATCTTTAAGATGTTTTCTTTACATGTGAAATAAAGAAAACGGTTACAAACTGAAACAGGAAGTGTTTCTGGACCAGTGTTGTTTACATCTTGTGAAATGGTCTATAGGAAGAAAAACATAAATATTCAAATTGGGAGTTTTGAAACTGGCCAATTTGTCTGTAAAAAAATAAAACAACAAAACAAATTGGTGTATCACTCAAAAAATAAAATAATGAACTTATTGAAAATAGCATTATATGACCCCTTTAAACAGGCAGGCTTTCTGAGGTAATGCCATTTTCATTGATAGTAGTTTAGTAGTTGGCACTCAAGGTAATCAAAAGGTTGCTGGTTAAATCATCAGCCATCACTACTGTGCTCATGAGCAAAAAACTTAAGACCCAAATATATAAGCTAAATAAGCTCATGCTGACAATCTACGGCGACACCACATAAACAAGTTCAACCAACCCTGTTCATGTGTTGACACATATTATTTTGACTCAATGACATTTCCCATCGTTCTCACCCTTACCATCAAGCTCTTTCTCGATGAGGTCCATGCGGCCAGACAGCTGGTTCTGAATGTCCTCTATGTGTGTAAGCAGGTTCATCTGCCACTGCAGGCAGTTCCTGGCCTGTTCCATGGACCCCAGGCTACTATCATTCACACTGCCGGAAAGAGCAATGGCACTGCTCACCTACACAAAACATAAAACACAGCATTGATTTCAAACTCTGTATCTTTTCACCTGCCTTGAACCAGATCTGATTTTTTAATTGTTCTATGGTTACCTCTTCTTCCTTTAGGTTAAATTGAGCGGCTGTATGCATCCCCTGTTCATCCCTTGCGTGTTCGAGGCCTGTACCAGGTTTCTGGTAGCTGTGCTCGCTGGTAATATAAGTTTCAGGGTTTGAGTTCTGGTTGAGGTGCTCTTTGAAATGTAGGCAGTCCGGAACCCCACCCATAGGCTGGTCCTCATCAGAGTTCACCCAAGACCGAGCCCACAAGTGCAAACTTGGGTTATGCTTGTTCCTGAAAAAAAATGTGATAAGCATATTATTGTTCCCACATCTTTTCTTCTATAGTTGTATATCAGATCAACTTAATGTCCGACAGCACTGGAAAACATGGCTAAAAATTGTCAACTTTTCTATTCTGGTTTCACAGACAAGGCTTAAGCTAGTCCCAGACTAAAATCCCTGTTTGAGCTGTTACGGAAAGTAACTTACAAGTCAGTGAAACGAGGCCATACACTTCAAAGCAAAATCAATCTTTTCCAGCAATTCCTTTTGATAATTATTATGTTAATTAAACACTATTGTGGTAGTTTATTTCCACAATTTCACCTAAATTAAGGATGTTGGTAGGTTTCTGGGAAGGCAAAGAGGCAGGTGCTTACTGTAATATATCCATCTTCAGCTGCAGGCCATTAAGCAAGTTTTTAACACTGTAAACATCAGCGAGCAGCTGGTGAGTGGACACAATTTTCTTGGCGTTCTGATGCGAGTAGTTTTCTGAGAGGAAGGACAGGCCATACATGTGGCCCTTTTGGAGCCAGTCTTTATCATGACGGTATTTAGCACTCCACCTCTGACCTGAGAAAAGTAAACATTTCAGTGACAACTCTGGAGTGACTTCAGTTTTACATTTCCTAGGGCTGGGTATTGACAACTTTTACGAATCGATTGGATTTAAAAACTCAAGCTTTCAATTCAAATCAATTCAACATTGATTCATTTGGATAAACATCTGTGTTCTGGCATGCCACATTAAAGAGCACCAAATTGGTATTTACTGCTTGAATTTGAATACTAGTAATGTGATTTAAAGGTTTATCATTTTTAATCAATAAGTGGGGCTGTTATGAATATGATGTGGTGTGGTCAGAATAGGGTGACAATGATGCATACAGCATTAGTCCTTTTTGGCACCATGCCTCAAATTTGTTGATGTGGTATATGAAAACGTTTTCACCTATAGACACAAAATCCATAACTTTTTGACAGCACAGTGTAAAGATGATCTGACTTGAATTTGGTGAAAATCAGACAAACGGTCTAAGAGAGCTAAAAACTATGTTTTTAAAGAAAAACAAAATGGCGGACAGAAAGTTCGGCCAACTATGGCAAAAATGGTCCCTATGTTCTTGGCACTAAGAATCTATTGAGTTCAGTTTCATTACAATAGGCTAATTGAATCAATTTATTAGCATTTTTGGAAGTTTTCGAAACTTGAGTACTGTCAGGACATGCTGCCGAAGACACATACTGAGTTTCGTAACGATATGCCAATGCATTTGTAAACTATTTTTTTTTTTTTTTTGACAAAATCCAAAATAGCCGATGCCCAAAATGGCTCTTGGCACTGTGCCAATACTGTCCAGGTAGCCTCAGGTCATGTATGTCACCAATTTTGGTCAGAATGCACTAACGCATTGCTAATAAAATAGCCCCACATTCATTTTGGCAGGCACTTCGTCTAATTATTCAATTAGTGCATTATTCGAGAACGGTTTGGCGAACAATTTGAATTTCAGAATTTTTTGTCTGCATGGTCTGTAGATGATCAGGTTTAATTTTCATGAAAGTCGGAGCAATGGCTTTGGAGTTTAACAAAGGAGGTTTTTTTTGGAAAATTCAAAATGGCATCATGAGAATTGATTAAAATTGAAAATGTTTACTTTTTATATATATTTTTAACCCAGCCCTAGTATTTACATAAACATTCAAGAAAAAGACATTAGACAGTTAGTTACTATAGTAGAGTATAAAACTATAACATCCTGCTGACCCTTTGTGTGTGGTTTTGTTGCTTAGTTGTTACCTGGTGGGTCCCGACAGATGTAACAGATGTATTGATCGGGTATGCTATCTTCCAAAAGTCCCATACACACACTGTGCTGCCAGCACATACACTCCTCGCACTGTACAGAGAAAAATATACCTTTTACCAGAAACTATTATGTGCAACAGCACACTACAACAGATTCAGAACAAACACAACAAAAAGGCACTCAGAACCATTTCAGCATACTTAAGATGTCTCTTGCATGAAACTGTCCTTAGAGACAGAATACAACTTATTTAAAAGTTATTGAAGAGCCATTGCTAAAAGTAATCCTACCTGAATCATGAAGCCGTTTTCTTCATCCATCTCACAGATGCAGCGAACAATTTCATCTGCACCAACTTCATCCTCATCCTGGAAGTCCTCCATAGTGATTGAGTCTAGATCCTGGTTATACTCATCTCCACTGAACAGCAAACTCTCAGTGGTTGAATCTTCCAGGAAGTCGATGTCTGACAGGTCTGAAATAGAAAAAAATAATTAGGACATAAAATAAGCCACAACATCCCAGATATCATATTCATGTTGAATACAATCTATTTTAATTACAGAACACAACAAAATGTAATAGCTGAAAGCTATAACTGAAATGAGGACATTATTGTAAAGTAGCTGCAAATGGCTGCAAATCAGCAAGATGACTTACTCTCCCCAGTGAGGTCAACAGACAGTATGGCACGAGGGTATTGGAAGGTGCTGTGCTTGAAGGCACTAGAGGAAGAACGATGTAGTGGGGAAGACGGTCTTTCCAAGTAAGACAATGACATCTCATCCAGGTCTGCATAACCTTAGCACAAAGATGAGAAAAATATGACCCTCTCATTTCATAACAGCGACTCATTATGGACTGAACAAGATGGCTAGAAATAATGAGGCAATTTAAAAAGTTAGTTCACCCAAAAATGAAAATCATGTCATTCATGACTCACCCTCACGTTGTTCCAAGGCCATAAGACCTCCGTTCATCTTCAGAACACAGTTTAAGATATTATAGATTTAGTCCGAGAGCTTTCTGTCCCTCCATTGAAAATGTATGTACGATATACTGTCCTTGTCCAGAAAGGAAATAGAGACATCATTAAAGTAGTCCATGTGACATCAGTGGGCTAGTTAGAATGTTTTGAAGCATCAAAAATACATTTTGGTCAAATTACAAAAACTACGACTTTATTCAGCATTGTGTTCTCTTCCGGTTCTGTTGCCATTTCACGTTCACAAGCCCAGAGCGACACTGCTGACGTGTATCTGGTGTGTATTCAGGTTGAAATAAATATGGCTGGGCAAAAAAATGCAAGTCTTCCTCTGTGTCGAAATCCTTAAACATGTTTGCGAAGATTGGTTTGTTTATAGCATGCGTCTCCCTCAGACTGTAAATGGAGCTTGGGCGCACCAGATAACACGTCAGCAACGTCACTGAACACAGCTTGACAACAGAACCGGAAGTGAATACAAAGCTGAATTAAGTCGTATTTTTTGTTATTTTTGGACCAAAATGTATTTTCTTCAAAACATTCTAACTAACCCACTGATGTCACATGGACTACTTTAATGATGTCTTTATTTCCTTTCTGGACAAGGACAGTATATCGTACATACACTTTCAATGGAGGGACAGAAAGCTCTCGGACTAAATCGAAAATATCTTAAACTGTGTTCCAAAGATGAACGGAGGTCTTACGGACTTGGGATGAGATGAGGGAGAGTCATTAATGACATAATTTTAAATTTTAAGACAAATTACACAAATTAAAGTCACAAATGAACGAATTATAAAAGTCGATTTAATTTAAAAGTTATATTATTTGTAAAACTTAAGTACATAGAGCTCTAAACCTGAGGCAAACTCAAAACTTACAGTGCAGTTTTGATTTCTTCTTCTTTTTTTTCTTTTTCTTCTGTTTAATTCGGAAAAGGTCCTTATCTTTCCTGTCCCTCCTGTCTTTATCCCGCTTTTTCGCTACAGCAGAGAACGAAATAAGAGATATGAGGACTGGTTTATAAATGTGAAATTGAAAAAAAATCAGTAAACTCACCAAACAACTGACATTTATCCTCCAGTTTGAATTTCCGTTCTGTCTTTATACAAAGCCCTGAAGAAGAAACAAACATCCATGAGGTTCACGGTTAAAGAAAATGTAATTAAAGAAGAACTCCATCATCTTTAAAATCTGCTAAATTAGCTCACCATCTAGGTGCTTGTCCTTCTTGAGAATCTTGTCATGGAGGTTTTCAAAGGTTGGAGGGGGCAGGGAGACCTCCGTACTGTCTGAACTGACAGAGGCAGAGGAACGTTTCTTCTTACAGAACTTAGGAGGCCTCACACAGCCAGCACTGTCCATTTGAAGCATGAAGCCCTGAGAGGACAGAGCTAGGACACAAAACAAAAGAACAGAACACTCATTAATTCAGTTTGATTGTCTAACTGTCATTGTACTAGCCATGTGATTGATGATCCAGACAAATAACAACAGGAAACCTACAGGAAGAAGTAGAGACGGTCCTGCGTCTCTTGTTATCTGGAATATCTGACAAGGTGCTTGTAGGCATGGAAGCAGACGTGGCCCTGGTGCGGCCCACCCTGTCTGGTGAGCAGACCTCGCTGTCCATTTCTTTCTCAGTGTTATGATAGTACTTCAGGTGATAGTCCAGCAGCTTTGCTTTCCGGAATGCTTTAGCGCATCCAGGGACTTTACACTTGAATTTATTATGGTCCAGGTCTATTAGAGACTCATTGGGAGCAGTGGGGTCATCAGACTTCTTGCTGTTTATAACTTAGGAGGAAGAAGACAGTTAGATCCATTTAAAAAAAAATGTATTACATACATACATACATACATACATTAGATAGATAGTATCTGAATAAAGTGAGTGAAATACAGGTGATGATTCATACTTGGCTCTCTGGCATGTTTGTTGGCTTTAGGAGTCCTGTAAGGAATTTTCTGACTTGCAGCTGGACATGAAATGAGAAGATAATGAATAGTTTTTAAATATCACAAAGTCCAAGTAGCATTACAGAATTTAAAATCTACTGTTGATATTTCCTAAATATCCTGGTTAGTCAGTTTGCTGTTTACTATATCCAAAAAACTAAGTGTCCTTTAAAAGCTTTGTGGAAAAACATAAAAGGCATTCAATGCTATGGTTACATGGCCAACCTACCTGTCACTACAGAAGGTGAGTTCTCTTCAAGTGTTGTTTGATTATTGGGCAACATGTCGGTCATCTTGTCCTTCTCAGTGATTGGTGACTGAACACTGCCAGTGGGAGGAGCTGTGGATGGGCTTCCTGAAACTGGCTTTTGTGAAGGATCTTCTGTTTTAACTGCAGTGCTGCTGTCTTCTTCAAAAGAGAGTGCTTTAAAATGCAAGACTTCAACAGGTCAATCATGGATAATTATGAAATTTCATAACAGAAGATTGTAGAGTGGCACAATTGAAAAACAGCATGTTTAAAACAAATGCTCAAAAGTTTGCGGTCAGTACGATTTATAAGAATATGATTTGTATAATCCCATTATGAAAGAATCCTGATTAAAAAAAATGTGTCAGTTTCCACAAAAAAATTAAAGGGTTAGTTCACCCAAAAATAAATTATGTCATTAATGACTCATGCCGTTCCAAGTCTGTATGACCTCAGTTCATCTATGGAACACAGTTAAATCCACACATATTTTAGATTTAGTCCGAGAGCTTTCTGTCCCTCCATTGAAAGTGTATGTATGATATACTGTCCTTGTCCAGAAAGGAAATAGAGACATCATCAAAGTAGTCCATGTGACATCAGTGGGTTAGTTAGAATGTTTTGAAGCATCGAAAATACATTTTGGTCCAAAAATAACAAAAACTACGACTTTATTCTGCATTGTGTTCTCTTCCGGTTCTGTTTTCAATCCATGTTCACAAGTCCGCAGTGATGCTGCTGACGTGTATCTGGCTGACATGACATGTTTGCAAAGATTGTTTTGTTTACAGTGTGCGTCTCTTAGAGAGTAAACGAAGCTCGGCCGCACCAGATAACACGTCAGCAACGTCACTGAACGCGGATTGACGCTTAGATTAACGCTTAAACTGTGTTCTGAAGATGAACGGAGGTCTTAAGAGCCTGGAACGACATGAGGGCGAGTCATTAATGACATCATTTTCATTTTTTGGTGAACTAACCCTTTAAGCAGCACAACTGTTTTTAACACTAAATCAGAATATTAGAACGATTTCTGAAAAATCAAGTGACACTTAAAACTGGAGTAATGATGCTGAAAATTCTGATTTCTTTTTTTTTTTTTTTTATCTGTGTTTTTAATCAAATAAATGCAGCCTTGGTCAGCATGAAACTCCTTTCAATAACATTTGAAAAACCTTACCGACCCCAAAGTTTTGAACACTGTATTTTTAGTGCTTTATTATGCCATAAGCTCTGCATAGTTTGCGTCCCTCACCAGGTTTCTGAGAGCCATCTGGGGGAGGAGGTTGAGTGAAAGAATCCCTCATGTGTGGCGAAGAGGGGTAAGCCTGGTCAGAGCTTGTCGCTAGACGCTGAGACCGTCTCCTTCTCTGGGGGGAGTTGGAGGGGGCTATGCAGAAACAGACATATATATATTATTATCATCATCAATACATTATGAAATATTAAATCTGTTATAATTGCTGACAGTAGAAGGTATAAACATTGCTACTGCTCTCTGGCTGACCCACCAGTGTGTGTGCTGTCTGGAAGCGTGTGTCTCGAAATGGATGAAGGACTGGGTTCGGGGGCTGTGGATGTGTTCTGACTGCTAGACGTGGACTCTCCCGAGTCGTGTTTAAGTCTTCTTGAGCGAGACTTGCACAGGGATGGGCTAGAGAGAGATGCTGGGGTTCTTTGGGCACTGACAGACTGGGATTTCTCTTCAACTGGACTAGCCTCTGCACCTGACACTTTCTGAGGGGTGGAGAAGTAAACATGACACAGTGTGTACTAAAGTGATCATCGTGTTTATAACAGTATGTCAGTTTCATCTATACCTGCTGTGATGTTACTGGACACTCTTTTGACTCTGCTTTGCATTCAGACTCAGTGTCAGGACATCCTTGATGATTAGAAACGAAAAGCACACTTAAAACATCTTAAATCACTAAACACTGCTGAATCAGTATCAGTTTATTAAGGAAATATAGAAGACATGATTGTAGCATCAACTTTTTTCTCAAAGCCAAGCACAGGAAAAACAGCAGAACAAACTGTAAGCTGTCAGTCAAATGAACTTAACATGTGTGATACATGCTTGATGCACACTCTTGTTGACTTGCGCAGTTTATCACCACCCTTTAATAGTATTTATAGCTATTAACTTAAACAACCTGTGTTACTATGAGGAATAATTAGCTCAAAATGTAGATCTATATGCAGGTGCAAGGTACTTTAAATGAAATGCATATACCTCTCACGCTTTTGCACAAGTGCCAGAGATTACACATTTGCACGCGTGTGGGTTGACTGCACGGTAAGATATTAGCTAGAACTATTTCTTGTCATAAACTTTAGAAACTAAGCCTTGTTGTGGGTAGTTACTCTCTGCTAATGTTTACCTGTCCCTTTGCCGAGACGAGTCCTTTTACTGCTACTTGAGTTGCCTTGTCTTTTGCTCCTTCTCTTTGCTGTAGCTGATTCAAGCTCCTCAACAGCCGGCTTACTGTCTTCCTCAATAACTGGCTTACTCTCCTCCTCAATAGCCGGCTTATTGTCCTCCTCAATAGCCGGCTTACTGTCCTCCTCAATAGCCGGCTTACTGTCCTCCTCTTCTGAGTCTAGGTCTGCTGTGTAAACAAGGAAATAGACATATGGTTGATGTTGCAGCTCAAAATGAATGAAGTGTTGATTTAAAGGGATAGTTCACTTTGAAATTGATTTTTGATATGTTTTAGCTTACCCCAAAGGCATCCAAAATGTATGTGTCTTAGTTTCCACAGTATTTTCAATTTTGATATTTTTAGGTAAAACGGTTCTTGTCTGTCGGTCATATAATGCAGGTCTTTGAACGAAACGCCCTTGCCTTCAGATCACTTGGACGTGGCTGTGGTTACAAGAGGTAAAAGCGATATAAATACTGTTCGTTTTCTCACACAAACCGCTCGTTTCGTGTCTTAGGCCATCAATATGTACTTACATTTACGAGTCATTAAATCATGATTAATTTGGACTTTTCTGTGCATGCTCTTTGAGGTGAACCCAGGGTGGACCCCATAAACCTCCATTATATGACTGACAGACAAGAACGGTTTGACCTAAAAATATCAAAATTGAAAATACTGTGGAAACAAAGACACCTACTTCTTGGACGCCCTTGAGGTAAGCTAAAACATATCAAAAATTAATTTCAAAGTGAACTATCCCTTTAAGATCAGGCTCCAACCAAATGAAAAAGGTTTATGAAAGATATGGAAGTAAACACAGATCAGTAGGCAAGAACTTCACCATGAAATGTATAGAAACTACAATTCATTAGGCAACACAAGTCCTAACAGATCACATACCAAGTTTCTCTGATTCACTATCATCATCGTTGTCATCATCATCATCATCATCATCATCAAGCTCTTCATCTGATCGTTGTTCTCTCCTGTCCTCTCGGTCCTTGTTGCTGTTGGCACTGGTACGTGGTCTGTTCACTCCTTTATTCTTGGCTGCAGCAGAGGCAGCCTTCACCAGAGCGATCCAGTCCTGCTTGAACACAAACCAATACACTATCAGTCACATCTGACATGGTCCGGTCACAAATACATTTCATGCCATGGCAAACGTAAAAAAATGTAATTAAAATTAAAGAAGCTTTTTAGGCATTAATAATGTAGTAAAGGTAACTGAGGTAGAATGAAGTGATTTGGCATCTTCAAATATTATTCATATAGGACAATGCTATAGATGGCCACACTGAAATATGATTAACTACAAAGCATCATGCTTGAAACTGATTGTCATCGGTCATACAACGGTCATCTAGCAGTGTACAACGCACGTCCAAAATCATCTATGAAACTTCAGGAGAACCTATTTGTTAATTAAACAGAACTTATGAGGACTCTCTGTGAAATCACTTTAATAAACTTACTTGTCCTTTTGCATCTTCTGGCATGGACTTGATATGGATTCTTTTCACACAGCGAAAGACTCCATCATAAAACTGTACAGTGTAAGTGCCTAAAGTACGAAAAATTAACAGCAAATCAGTGCATTTTATATATATATATATATATATATAAACTATATATATATATATATATGAGTCTTTCGATTTGATTCAAATAAACATTACTGTGTGAAGGCATTACTGTGTAGGCATTCAGTTTCTTTTCAAAATAGCATTTGCAAACACTTTTCCCTCTGCATTTGAAAACCATTCAAATTTAACAGCTTTTTGTATTGCATACTGACAGAAGTAGTATGTTTCTGCCCAGAAGAGTCAGCAAGATGACCTTACCTTCCTTGTTGATACTTTCAATCTTGGCAGGGTAGTAGCGGCAATCTGTCCATCGGGCAAGCACCTCCTCACCATCTCTCAATTCCTAAAGATGAAACAAAAACAGAATAGACATGCAATTAAATAATCAACAAACCAAGATAAATTCAGCCAAACCTGTATTGAAGATATGGGATGCGCTGTGATCATAAAAGTGAATGGTTAGAGCAGAACAAACTGTGATGGACACAGAAAACCTCTGATTATTTCATGTAGTACCTGGCAATTATAATTCTAGCTCTAATATTGTTTTATGTCTATAAATCAGAAAGGAAAGCTTTCTAAAAAAAAAAAAAAAAAAAAAACACCATTCAAAAGATTGGGGCAAGGTTGTTGTTGTTTTTTTTTTAGTTTTTACAAAAAAAAAATAAAAAAAAAAAATCAGCTCTTTTCAATTCTATTCATCAAAGAAGCCTAAAAATTGTTTCCAAAAAATATATTATAAAGCACATGGGTTGTCAACAAAAAAATAAGAAATTCTTCTGGAACACTGAATCAGCATATTATAAATATTACTGAACAATCATGTGACACCAAAGACTGGAGTAATGGCTGCTAAAAATTCAGCACAGGAAGTAATTACATTTCAAAATATGTTAAAATGGAAAACAGATGGCAATTCAATTTCAATAACCGTTTTTACTGTATTTGAATCAAACAAATGCAGTCTCAGTCAGCAAGAGACTTATTTCACTTTACAAAATCTTACCGACCCCAAACTTTTGAACAGTAGTGTAAGTGTAACCACACCTCTTTAAATATAAGTCACAAAGGCCTGTTTATTTTTTCAAATGGATGATTGTTTGTGGACCAACAAAACATTAAAAGGTTTTGGCCATGTAGATGGAGGAAAAACCCAAACAATGATGGGACAAGCAGTTGAGAGCCAGATCAAGGTAGATGGGCAATTGAGGTATGTACTTGTCTCTGCTGAGGTAAGTCTTTTTGGTCCTCTGTGCTCTCTGTACTTCCAGGAAGCTCACGAAGGCGAGATGCTCTCATCTCGCTGAAACTCTCCTGGCAGAAATGTTTGTAAGACAAGAATTAATCAATCACTCATCTCATTAACATGATTGAAGTTTTCAGCCACTCATTTGTTAAGTTTAGCAGCTGAAAAACTTAATTTGGCACTATGAAGACATACTCTAACAGCCCACAAAGGACCCTGTATTTCTTATGCTTCCCAAGTCATCCTAGACAGTTTAGACCATGAATATATCTGACAAGAGGAAGTACTGCAAACATACAGACACCTCCTCTTCTTTGAGACCCTCTTTGCGGAGCGCCGGTCTCTCTAATGGCCGAAGTCTGTTGCTGTCCCAGAGAATCCATTCGTCGTACCTATGGCTCCAACGGTCAAAATGCACAAGCATCTTTCCCTCATCATAATCAATCTTCTCGATACGTGAAGGGTACCTGCGAAGACACCATTCAACAAAGATCAGATCATTCATAGATAACTTTAAAAAAAACCAAAAAGCACTTAAAATAACTAAAGCTTTAATAACCGTTCATTCAAGTACTCTTGAAAATGGAAACACTATTCCTAAACAAAAACAATATCTCTTATTTGTTTTAAATGAGACAAAAATATAATCATGTGAGTATTTAAAAACCATAACACTGCTCTAACACAGGGGTTTTTAATCTTTTAGACTCCCCCATTTAACCCATACTAATATAGTTTATATTGTGAAACATTTATATTATAAATTAAAATATTTTTTTTGTTCTAGACATTTAGAGATATATTTAAATAATTTATTTATTTATATCCACTCATTTATTTTATTTCTTTCAGCCACCTGCGATTCCCCCAGACCCCAGTTTTGAAAAATTCTGTTCTAACATAAACAATATGCTAGCAGCAGTTATTGTATCACATTTTTAAATGGATTTTCAAAATTAATTCATACCATTTTTGCAGATAGTCCTGGGCCTCAACCCTGGCACCAACCTCATAAGAGATCCCTGGTCGATTTGGAGGTTTCTTGCTCATTTTGAGTGTACTCTTACCAGATCTTCCTCAAGACACAAATGTTCTTTCGTCCTATGGATGGACCTGTGAATGTAAAGAAATGATCTATGAGTCTATGTACATAAATCAGCTGAACTATATTGCATGGATAAATGCTTGACACGTTTACTTTATACTAACTTTACATCAAAAAAGGCAAATCGTTCACTCCTAAATCATGTATTTCATTGGTAGTATTTATTTATCAATAAACTGCACGGTTTCACGTAAGCTGATTAAAGAAAACATGCTCAACAATTTTACCAGATGGCAAAATGTACTCTAAACCAGGCCTTTGATTGCCCTACTGCATTCTGGTACTCATATTAGGGATATTTTTCAAACGTTTGCACACTTAACATGTCACGAAATAGCATCACATGCAAACAATAGATATCAAGCAAATATATTATATAATCAAAAGTGTTTCTGTCTAGACAGCAGCTAACTGAGCTATCCAGCTACTATACTACTAACATAGTCCACTTATGACAACCTTGCGCACAAATTAAATCGCTATGTTAAAAAAATGTTTACCCAATACGGAAACCGGACCCTCTAAAAACATACATACAAATGTACAAGTATATAAAAAAAAATCCAATACGAATAAGAGGTTAAATGACTCTTTTACCTGGATTAGCTCGCTAATGCTAGGTTGGCTAACGAGCTTCTTCTCAAATTGTCTGCTGCCCGAATATAATTGTCAACATTTTTCCTTAAATAACTACACAACCCTTGAGCATTAATAATACACTTCAATATTTTAAAGATGAAACTCCAAGTCAAACCTCTCATTGTCCAGTTAGCACAGAAGAATTAGCCAAACAGCTAATGCTGTACCAGCTGACCAGCTAAACCGTTCCGAGGGGATAAAACTATGTGCAAAAAAAGAGAAAAAAAAATGACAGGCCAGTTTTTATCTTTGTTAAAGATAAAACGAAAGAGTGACAGTTGCTTTCTGGCGTCCGCTATACGTGTGACATATATAGTTACCTTAGCAAATTCATTGAGAGAATATCAATTAATTCCAATAGTGTATTGTGATCATTCAAGCTCAGTTACTTTTACCCAAACTGAACATGAGCGCGCACGCATGCGACGCACAAAATGTCTGAGGGCACGCGCACCGTAGACTGACACGTGACCGATATTCAGACGCTTTGTGTTTGTTTGTTTGTTTGTTTGTTTGTTTTGTTTTTAAAGAGGTAGAACCCTTCTAAATCGACCACCTCTGTTGTATTGCTGTGTCACATGAATTAAACTTTTAAACTGTTGAAACAAAAACAGTTTTCTTTGTCAGTCTTCTTCGTGTTTGAGTTGTTTGATGATGATAATAAATTATAGAGTAGTAATACGGGATACTTTCAAGGCTAACAAACCCCACCTTGTTTTTTCCCAATTGACCAATAATAAATGCTGCTCTTCCACACAATCTAAATATCCACATAATATTTAGTCAGTTGAAACAGTTTTGAGGTTTATTGATTTTTTTTTTTCCTGGAAAATAGTGACTTATGACGTCAATTTTCTAATAATGTCTATTTTCTAATAATGTTTTTGTGGACACATTAATGTTTTCAGATTTGTGGAATGAAAGAATACATATTTTATGTCAAATAATTATTTAATTATTTTAAAATATGTAATTCGTTTTTATTCAGTAATTGGATTAGTAAGATGTACATTTTAGACTTCCTCACAATTAAACCTTCAGGCTAATTAAATTCACACCATCTTCCATGCGATGTTCTTCCCGGACTCGAGCGCGTTTAGTTGTGGCAGAAGACGGCGTATCTTGCACGATTTGGCATTGCTCCACACATGTGGAAAAAAAAAGAGCTTGTGCCACGGATTAACCAGGGAAACTTTCATCGTGTTTGACGAAAGCATGAACAGAGCAACAAAGAGCTGCATGTCAGATACTGGGCAACAGACCAGACTGCACTTATCACGTTCAATCCCGTTATTTTGGGTCCCTTCACGGGCCATTCATACAGCAGAGGATTTGTTGGAACATTTTTAGGTAGTAGGCTATATAATATATATATATATATAATTTGCATGATATTTGCTACTTGAATTCATTCTTAGTGTAGAAAAAAAGAAAAACCCACAAATCAAGCATGAATTTGTGATGCTGATAGGTCATATTTAACAAGATTATCCCTGAACGTTTTGGATTTTGTATCATATGTTAATTTTAAAATCTTGTATAATATGACTTGCTGTTTCTGTTTGTTTCGATCTTGTTGTATTTATATGATATTTGTATTTTAGTTATTTAATTTTTGCCATGAAAATGGCTTTGAATGCTGACAAGGCATTAAATAAAACAATCTGAATCTTTGATGGTGGGTAAGTGTGACATCTACTGGATTAAGGGGAAATTACACTTTCCCTGTAAACCAGGAGTACCATATTCTGCAAATAAGTCAAATGGTTTGTTTATAACAATCATACTCCTATTTTAGCAATCAAGTCATTTTGACACAAAAGCATATCACATAGGCTTATATGTCTTTCCCATAATCTATTTTAAGATAGTAATTATCCTGTACTAACATATTTATATTGTTAAAACCCTCTGAGTGAACACATAAATGAAAACATTAATAAAATAACATAGCGTTATTGTTAATAAAGTTGGCTTTTTTGTATTTTATTTTTCGTGATTTCAAGAGTGTAAGAGCTCAACTTGAGGAACATGATTTCTTTGTGGATGGATGGACCCTCTGTTAATTGGAAATTTGTGAACCTCTACAGCAGGAGGATTTCACATCATCAACAACATTCCCCTTACCCTTCAGTGGTCACCAGTGGCTTGAGAACTTGCCAATTGTGAAAGAGCATTAGAGATTTGGCCCTCCATTGAGAAGTTTGTGGACCAGGTGAAGACAAAGAAGGTGAAGAACCTTCCATCATCATGACACCATCTCTGAGGCTTGACTGGATCCCTTTCTGCAGGCCAAGCCCCATTACTTAATGTCTATATCAAGAGCTTTCCAACCTTTTCTAGAGAAATAAAAGATGCTCCAATAATACCTTTTTTTGTGGAAAGATCTGGAGGATGTGATCAGGGCATAATTATTCATCATAAAAATATTCAACACACTTAAATGTCCAGGAAAGAGGATAGGTTTAACTGTTTATGAAGGTCAAACGATTTATGAAGCTTGATGCACTGCTATAAGCTGGTGAGGCTTGAAGTCACGACCAGAAGCTTTGGCTAAGTCCAAAGGATGTCAACATAGGAATGGGTCCTGCAGTCATCAAGGTACATCCAGTATATTCTGTGAATTAACCACCAATGACTCATCTTCAGATGTATGACGGGAAATATGAGGTCAAGTCAAAGATGACCTCAAAATGAGGTCAGATGATGGCTAATTGAGAATGTTTTAGAGCTGTGTTTAAAATGTCTTGCAGATAGTTTAATCTGGACAGCTGAGTTCATGCTAACTTACCTACTTAACTTAACTTGTCATGGAACTAACAAAAGCAGGGGCCAAAAGCTGTGTAAGCGACCTCGTTGTCCTGCAGTTTAAGAAAGACTGCCAGAATGCACTTTCAAGTATGTGCCAGAAGGCACTTGATAAGTGCCCCCTGAAGTAGGCCGTAGTCCACAACGTGACGTGTTTGGATCCAGGCAAAATGTGCACCAACCCTGAAGAGTGCCTTTAGAAAATGAAGTGTCTCATTCAGAAGTTTGTGCAAGACAACAACTGTCAGGCTGTTTTTTTTTTGTTTTTTTTTTGGGATGAACTATCTCTTTAACTTCTGGAAAAGCTAAATAACTGAAAAACCTCTGTCACCATCTGCAGCTCAGATGAAATAGTAATGATTATCCAAGCATTAGCCTATAGCCTCAATTTCAACCTGTTTAAGATTTGAATCATTTTGATATTGTCTGTAAACATTTACATTCCAAACTATTACTCAATACATTGAACTTTTGAAAAGTTATTTATTTAGGAAACAAATTAATCATAAAAAGTAGGCTATGAAAGTGATGCTCTCTTGGTAATATATTTACATCGTAGTTATGAATTTAACCATCCATCATCCGGCCGGCTGCATCATGGCAGTTATCGAACAAAAGTTTGTAATCTGTTCCTCCAGCCTTCACAAAAGCAGACACGGTCTTGCTCCCACGAAAATCTTTTGTCTCAACAATCTGTCAAAAAAGAAGAAAAAAAAAAGATTAGCGAGACCAAAATGATCTTCTAAAGTTAAATGAAATTGCTAAGGTCTAATTTCCAAAAAGTCAAGTCAAGTCAAATATATTTATATAGCGCTTTTTACAATACAGATTGTATCAAAGCTGCTTCACAGTATCAATCAAAACAACTTAACAGTGTTTGTTTATTACTGGAAAAAAGACATCCAAGTTTATTATTATTTAAACAGACAGACTATACAAGGACTGAATTTTTTAATATATATATATACAAGTAAGTTGCACGCATATCAGAGTTACAGAATGACTTGCCTTCCAGTTTCTGCTCATATGACGGGCATCCACAACAACAGTCTGAGTTGAGATGCCATAGCCATCTCCCTTATGGACCAGCCATTTAGTGCCATCTTCTAGAGTCACTCTAAAAGCAGAACCAGCAGAATAATATTCAACACATTCTTTCCTGCACTATTCAAGTGTGATGTATTCACCATGTATTCAACACAATGCATGTGCTAATACAAACTAAAATGACAAAACTGTTCATTGTATCTTCATTACCTGACTCCAGAGTGGCTGATTTTGCCTACTTGGAAAGACATCCCCTCCAAAGGTCTGGTCATCCTCTCTGCCTTGAAAACTTTGGAGTTGTATAGTTTCCTTAGATCAGACATTTTGGAGAGGTCGTAATTGTAAGAGTTACCACCCCCTGAAAATTAAATGTGACAGAAAATATATCAGTAATATAAAGGCAATTTTGTTAACTTTAAAGGTAAGGTAGAAGGCAGAAAAACCTTAGTCAAACTTCTTTTTGGTTATTAAAATTAAATAAAATTGTAGAGAAGGTGCAGTGCAGTGAATGTATTGCTAAGCAAAGTAAAAATGAATAAAATTTGTAAATATACCATTGCCCCATGAGGATTCAGCCACCATGGCCAACATTGCCAAGAGAAGCAGACCAAGTGAAGTCTTGAAGGACATCATGGTTCACAGCAAACTGAAGCTTGGTAGAAAACCAGAGCAATTTTTATACTTTTTTGACCCTGTGATCCTCCCTTTACCAAAGTCTTGCTTCACTACTGATGTCATCTGAACAAACATGGCTTGTGTTTTGGGGAAAGTGCAGGATTGCACAATTTTAGCTTGCATGGTTATCGTTAGAGCTGTGCTGCTGCAGTTCTGGATTTCCTCCAGAGGTCTTGTTGTTCTTCTGGCAAATGGAAAGCGGGAAAAGCCAGAATTGCACAATTAACCTGGAAGAGAAAAAAAACAGCTACTAAACTGAAAAAGAGGAACCAACATAAGATACACATTGAGATGTAAACTATAATAAAGTATTTTTTGTTGTTTTGTAATAATGGAAATTTCCATTATTCTACGAATGCCTACCACCTCACCCTCACAAATGTCTGATTCAGTGCCATTCATTTCGATAGACATTTCAAAAACATGTAGTCTTAAAGGGATAGTTCACCCAAAATGAAAGTTTTGCATTTACTTCTCCTCAAGTTGTTCCAAACCTTTATGAATTTATTTTTTCTTCTGAACACAAAAGAGGATCATTTTAAGAACATGGGTAACCAAACATCTATAATATGGAAGGCAATAGGGTCCCAAATGAGGGTGAGTTTTTCATTTTTGGTTGAACTATCCGTTTAAGCTTTGATCCAACCCAATGTTTCCTAGACGAATAACATTGCAACATATCAACAGCACCAACTGGCAAATGATAACTAATCCCAGGCGGTGTGGTTTGAGTATTTCATGAAATGGCTTAACTCAGATTTTCACAATAGTGTCTAGTCTAGAAGTTCAAAAACAGCAACCATTCAGTGGCAGTTCTGTGGATTAAAATGCCTTGATTTGACAAGGTTTAGAGGAGAAGGCCCAGGCCGATTTGTCCATATATTGAGCCACAGTCAAACCCACTATCTAAAAATTGGGTTTTGATAATCCAACACTCTGTATGATGCACCATTACTCAGTCAGAAGTCACTTTTAGATTTAGGAGCTGCATATAAAACTGCCATTAAAGCGACTAGTGTGCCACATAACCACAAATGTCAGTGTCACACAGAAAATTTAGATTGAGGCTTGTCTCACTGTATGACACCCTGAAAGAGGCGTATATCAAAAGCATGTCCATTCACAGCATAAAAAATTGACACATCAATTATACAAATTTCTCCCTTTATCGACGCTTAAAATGAGCAAGTTGGAATGGATAGGCCGCTTGAAAAACATGGTGAAGAAGAGTCCTTTATATTCAAATTTCGTTATCGGCTTTGTGATGGTGGGACTTGAGCAACTTGTGGAGATAGACTTTGCATGTCCTTGCAATCCGAAGCTGAATCTGCTGTTCTCAATGGCGTATTTTGTAGTTCCTGCTCTCTTCTCCTTCGCACTTTTGTTTTATATCCAAAGCTCACAAATCAGCAATTATTCAAGCTGCTTGCACTGCGCTTTGGTTTGTCTTACTCCGGCCATTCTCTGGATAATGCTTCTGTTCTTTGATGGACAATACTTTGCCTGTGCAAAAACTTCATGGGAAGGACTTACGGTTCACACGGATATAACTGCTTCAACAACATGGTGTCAGCCTTTAGTCGAACGTGACAACGCCACAGAAAAGCAAATGACATTTTTTAACTATCGAAATAACTCTCAGGTGAGCATGATGATGACATCAAGATGCTGTTACAAATATGTTGTTTGATTAATATGTTGTTTTTTATGAGTTGATTATTACCTGGTCTCAAGTTTTCATGTACTCATTTAAACATGAATGTACTTCTTCAGCTTGTGGGACTGTGCATACTGCTCCTGATTTCACTGCCTCTGATCTGGATGGGGATCGGGAGGTGGTACTACACACCAACAAGAACCAAACAACTTGAAAATGAACAAATTGAAATGGTGGATTTGAACCCATCACCCCCTCCGGACACTGTCTCTACAATTGGTGATCCCTGTAGAGATGAATTTTAACAGCTTTAAATAAAACAGCACTGGACAGAAATTACTTCATTTTTTCACAAACCTCATGTTTAAAATTCAAGTCTTTTTGGTATGCATTTAATATGATGGAATAAATAAACTTGTAAAAGTTAGTATTTTTTAATTAGGCTATATATACACTGTAATTTGGTGTTGTTGCAACAGAAATAAACTTGCACATCTTTTACCTTTAGCTACCATCTAGAGTAACAAACCACTTCCTGTCATTTACAGCAAGGACATGTTTACTTTGTTTCTGAATTACATTCACTTTGGATGGCATACTCTCAGATAGCCTGAATGTTTTTCCATTTTTAAGAAAGGGGGGAAAAATATGTTTCTAAATTATATCAACCGAGAGACAGAGGGCAATTCTTGAACATGTGACTTCTCGAACTTAAAGTAAAAGACATACCCCAAGACAAACACATCCAATAACACGTAATAACACTATATTACAGTTTATTAATGAATAAAAAAACTGCTTTAAAATTTGATGTGAAGTTGTAAAGCACACAGTGACAAAGGAGATAACACAAAATACAAAATACTCATGAGATCACAGGAACAACATTTGAGAAACTCATAAAGAACACACAATGGACTGAACATAACAGGGAGTAAATACAAGGCACATATAATGAAAGACAGGTGCAAATCATAAGTAACCAACATATATTTTTGTTGTTATTTTTAGATACTTTTTACAAGGCCTTTATATGTACTGTAAGCACATCTATATAATTTGCCGTGTCACAGTAATCATTTAAATTGTAGTATTATGGCACTAATTTATATTCAGTGCTTTTATTTCAATTCATATGCCATCAAAGTGACGAGAGCACAATCTCTTAAAAAGGTTCACCTCTCAGTCGCAACTCTGAGACACAGTCATGATGATATGAAAGTCTGCAATCACTTTCAGTTAGTCTGCACACCTTGCAACTAGCAACACGCACGATGGGCAAGCAATGGGTGGCAGAGCTGAAAAAACAGCTGAAGAAGAGTCCTTTTTATTCAAATGCAATTATTGGCTTTTTAATGGTGGGACTTGAGAAACTCACGGAGATGGATTTTGCATGTCCTTGTGATCCAAAGATGAACCTGCTGTTTTCTGGTGCGTATTTTGTGATTCCTGCTCTGTTTTCGAGCACACTCATGTTTTATATTCAAAGCCCACAATGCAACACAAAGCGTCTGCTCTGTATCGGGACCTGCATCATTCCAGCTGCTGTTTGGATCATGCTGCTGTTATTTGATGGACAATACTTTGCCTGTGCAAAAACCTCATGGGAAGGACTGACGGTTCACACCGATATATCTGCTTCAACAACGTGGTGTAAGCCTTTCATCAATGCTGACAACATCACTGAAAAGCAAATTACATTTTTTCGCTTTCGGAATACTTCTCAGGTGAATGAATCATTGGGTTATAAAATTCTGTTTCACGTGGATGAAGATGTAATTGATTAAATAAAATGTTTGTCATGCTTCAAATAACACATATTTTCACTTTCACAGATATGTGCACTGAGCATGTTGGGTTTAAGCTCTGTGCCTTTGTTTGTCTATGGATGTAAGAGGTGCTGCCACCAAGCAGAAACCAAAGAAACTGAAGCTGAACAAGTGGAAATGGGGGATCCTAGTCAACGTTCAACACCTCCTCCTGAAGGATCTTCGTTAATAGAGGATGAAAACAGAGGTGCATCAGATCAGCTATAAATAAAGACACTTTTTTCAGATCTTGCAAAAAAAAAAATCAAATGTAATGTTTAATGTTCACTTTTAATGTTCGCAAAACTCACATTTAAAATGTAACAAAGAAAAGAAAAAAAGTGTTTGGAGCACATCCAACCGCAGCACAAATTACACTTGTTTTTCAGTGCAAGTCTTGACGTAATGAGAAACCACATCCTGTCATCCGGTGCACTGTTTTATGTAACACGGTACAATATGCTGCTCACATTCACTGATTGTTATTTTTTTATGCTTTTGGCGTGTGTACTGTCAGTCTGTGGCTGATTTCTCTCACTTACAGACACATTTTAAGGTGTGTGAGCTTAAGCATCAAGTCCACTTTGTCCAACAGGAACAGTTTTAGAGAAGCTCATAGAGTGAAAAATTGTATTAAGACTTATTTTTTTGGACTAAACTTTCAAGGAAATGAACAAGAATATTTGAGAGGTTTGAAACATTTTTGAAATAAATATGTTTTACTAAGTTCTGGTTTAAGTTTAAGGATGATTCTGATGAAACTGTATTTTCTGCAAGTAAAGCTTTTAAGTGTCTCTCCAAAATATTATTTATATTGCGTCTGCCGGTTTATTTGTCAATGCTACCGTATGCTATCTAAGTACCGTGAGAGCGATTCGAGAGTAGCCGGAGGACTCAACCAGCGCAGCCTCTCAAGTGGCTGCACAAGCTCTGATGATGTCACAGCTGTTCCACGATTGGCCGGATTCACCATATGTATATAAAGGCTAGATATGTCGTCCACGCTGCTGGCCAATGGAGGTCGACGTCTGCACCTGGCGGCCATCTTGTCACAGGTAGCTTGCTCACTCGTAACATTGTGTTAATGGTATTCATTATTTAAATGACCATAAATTGCTCAATTTTCTACCGATTTTCAAATGGTTTGTTTTGTTATAAATGTCAGAGATGTAGTTATTACACTGCATACTTATGAATAAAAAGTGTATAAATAAAAAATCATCCAGATAATTATAGCCACGTTAATACCGTTTGTAAGAAACCAAACCGTTTGTAAATCCGTTAAGATTTCAACGAGATAAGAGTATTTGTGTTCGTGCTGATCACTCATCTCAAATCAGCTTGTCTGTGACAAGATGGCCGCCGGTGATGACGATGGAAACTCCGCCGTGACACATCTAGCCTTTATATACATATCTATGGGATTCACCCTATGACAACGTCAACGATCACGTGCGTTTCGTGTTTATTCTCACACCTTTAGTTCCACCAAAGCTCACAAATCTGTTTTTAATTTAACAGTAACCACTCTTTTTATGTATCAGCATGCGATAACTGAGTTCAAACACCTGAGAACAGCAACAAACCCAAACTGTAAACTGACCTGCTCTCATTTCCAGTGATGAACTTGTCAATCCTGTGAACAGAATAAAGATGGAACTTCTTAAGAATTTGTTAATTCAGACAACATTGTATTCAAATTACAGTACTAGTGACTGAATGCTTTTTGTCTTATTCACTCACCCTCCGTAAGCTTCGAATGTGAAACTTCTTTTTCTGGAGAAAAACTTCTCGTTTCTCCCCTCCATGGTAAGTGTTTATTACAGACAGCCACAGCACTCCTGATAGGAAATTAACTGCTTCTCTCTCTCTCTCTCTCTCTCTCTCTCTCTTCTCTCTGCCCCTGCTTCTCTCTCAATTTAATCTCTCCTTACATCCTTTCTTGTCTCCTGCTGCCTTTTGACTGACAGGGGTCTTGCATGCCCATCCCCTGCCACTGACATCAGAGGTCGGTGAACTACTGCACATATACAGATCAACTAAAATGCTTTGAATAGATACAATGGTGAATATTTGTTTGCTGAAATTGTATTAAATTGTGTGTGTAGCATTTATACAGCCTCTCAAAAAAACTGCTCTGGGTGGACTACATGAATGGGCAATGGACCACTGCAATAGACATGTTACCCTTTCAGTAAGCAAGACCAAAGAGAGCATAGAGAAATGAAAAAGTGACGTTGAGCGGGGGCAGACACTCAAATAAAACACTAACTTTATTAGTTTATGTTTTAAAATTGTAAAGGCATACCATTTTTTACATGAATCAATCTTGAGGCAATTTATTTACATATCACTTCAAACATACAATGGAAATCTCATACAAAGTCATTACAATGCATTTTATATGCATTTTTATAATTTGAAACTGCAGGCGGTTCATGGGTTTATGTCAAATCATACAAATGTGACATTAAAAAAATATTTAAAAATAAAACACTTTCTAAAAAATATTACATTTCATTTTTGTGCCTGCATATCATATCATGTTAACTGACATGAGAACATACAGTCACTAGCATAGACCACTTGAAGGAGTGAATGAAAATGAATGAGCGAATTCAGACTGCTGCTTTTTCGATTCAAACTCAATTTGCTTAGAAACATAAGTTTGGAACCCTGACCCTAAACGTGAGCAATAGCAGTAATCAACAATGAGCAAAAATTGCATTGTCTATTTCTTTATATTCAAAACTATGACAACTTGACATTACTAAGACAACACAACCTGTCATAAACATGACATAGCAGATTAATTATCAAACTTAAGAAACCACCTATAGGTTAACATTACATTAAACTGTCAGGTGGTTGGTTTTGACAATGGCTGTCATAACTTTTTAGTGACAAATTCAATGTGTACCACTGTAGTTGAGGTCACGAAAAATATTCATGACACAGTTATAACGGCCTCATGACAGCCAATGTCAAAGCCAACCACATTACAGTTTAATTTAATGTCAAGTTGTCATGACAAAGACACTGACAGGTTATGATGTTATGGTTTATGTCAAGATGTCATAACAAAGACATCTTAAACAGTATGATATTTGCAATCAAACTATCATTATTGAGCGAATGACACTTAATGACAGTTGTCATAAACATGCATAAACCCTTATTTCATCTTCATGAGATATGTCATGTCATGGTTATGAAGGTGTCATGCCAGTCTCATGCACACCCCTTCAAGTAAAGTGTTACCGACATGGCTTCTATAAGTTCTTAACTTATGTGGCTTTCTGGAATACCAGATGTAAAACAGCCAGGAAACAGGACAGAACCTCTTCTTCACAGAAAACACGCAATTCATCGATTTTCTGCTGTGTTGCTTCATTCATTCTCAGGTAATTCCAGTAGAAATCTCTGGGTTCGCTACCATTCTTGTGGTAGTGTCTAAACACCATGACGGCCCTGTCAGAGATGAAGCCTTTTGTTTGTTTTGCTACCCTGTTTAAGATGTACATGTAGGCCTGAACTTGATAGCAGTACTCATGTGTTTCATTAAGGACTGCACAACGGCCACCATTTTTTGGTTTAGTGAAGACTTTGCTTA